CCAGAGGGGCCACAACGGCTGCAACCTCCCAAGGGACCAAAACACCCACAAGAGCCCTAACAACCACAGTCATCAAAACGAGCACAAAATATCACAACAAGGACACCCACCGAGAGATCTCAAACAGCCACAACGATCAGGACGCTCCATAACAGCTACAACTAACACAATCTCCGCATTGCAAAACGTACCAAATACATTTGAGACACATCTATATCTTGAAAACGCTCTAAACAAAGGTAGCAGTCGCAACTGAAGCGTCCTGGATTCGTTCTTTACTAAGTGAAAATGTTCCTGATAAGTCGTCAATTTATAATTATAAGTAATGTTAAAAAAAAGACATTTCTTACCTCAAGTGGAAATAAAGGCTGCTCATTGTAAATACGCACAAAGATTTCTCCCACAATCAGCTCTTCGCTGAAAACGGAGAAAGTAAATCGAGCACCAAATGAAGAGTCACATTCACCCTAGAAATATAAACACAAGAGTTAGATAACGCACTGCACAACCCTATTTTTTTAACACTTCGATGATCTGAATGAAGACTCTCTTTACTTACTTTTTACTCTCTTGGCAAAAGGGTTTTGTAAGTCACTTTGGAGAAAACGCTTTAATGTGAAAACATTTTCCTGAATGTGTGAAGTCCAGCATTCTAAGAACCTACCCACTAGAGTGTGATATAAAATGTTCGTTCGTTCGTTCGTCCGTTCGCGAGTCCGTTCGTTCGTTCGTTCGTTCGCGAGTCCGTTCGTCCGTCTTTCGTTCATTCGTTCGTTCATTCGTTCGTTAGCTCATTCCTCTGTTGGTTCGTTCGTTCATTCATTCGCTCGTTCACTGGTTCGGTCAGTCGGTCTGTCACTCGCTCGTGAATGGATTCATGCGTTTCTTCGTTTCGTTCGTTCATTCGTTCGTTCATTCACTGGCTCGTTCGCGCTTTCTTCTCCGTCTGTTCGTTTGTACGTACGTTTAATGTCGGTTACTTGAGCACGAAAAAAAAATTAACAATTTCCCTCGTCACCTCTACAAATTTGACAGATCTATTATCAGACCACAAAACTGATCGCAGAGCGTACTTAGTAAAACTATACTCTCTCAGTACATTACCGTTTTGATCTTTCGTAGTTGCTGAGTTTCCAGAAATTCATTCAGTTCTATCCTTGTGGCGTTGTCCCAGATAAGATAAGGATTCTCTGTGTTACTGTTCAACATCTTTAGGATCTACACAAAGAGACAAAAAGACTCTGGATTTCTATTTGTAATATAAACAAATAACAACATAGGCCATGGGCTCAGCATCAACTCGTTCTAGCTATGAGACAGTTAGCACTGGCCGTTTTAAAGGAGCTCAATCATGGTATTTTGAGCTCTTTTGACCACGTACAAAATTACCTTTACAATGAAGAAAACCTGAAAATAGTTCTCTACTAAGATAGAAAAACACCAAAGGGACGATAATAAACTATACAGAAGCAAGGATGATTAAGGATGGAGANTGGAAATAAAGGCTGCTCATTGTAAATACGCACAAAGATTTCTCCCACAATCAGCTCTTCGCTGAAAACGGAAAAAGTAAACCGAGCACCAAAGGAAGAGTCACATTCACCCTAGAAATAGAAACACAAGAGTTAGATAACACACTGCACAACCCTATTTTTTAACACTTCGATGATCTGAATGAAGACTCTCTTTACTTACTTTTTACTCTCTTGGCAAAAGGTTTTTGTAAGTCACTTTGGAGAAAACGCTTAAATGTGAAAACTTTTTCCTGAATGTGTGTAAGTCCAGCATTCTAAGAACCTACCCACTAGAGTGTGATATAAAATGTTCGTTCATTCGTTCGTTCGTTCGTCCGTCCGTCTTTCGTTCATTCGTTCGTTAGCTCATTCCTTCGTTGGTTCGTTCGTTCATTCATTCGCTCGTTCACTCGTTCGGTCAGTCGGTCTGTCACTCGCTCGTGAATGGATCTATGCGTTTGTTCGTTTCGTTCGTTCATCCGTTCGTTCATTCACTCGTTCGCGCGTTCTTCTCCGTCTGCTCGTTTGTACGTACATTTAATGTCGGTTACTTGATCACAAAAAAAAAAATAACAATTTCCCTCGTCACCTCTACAAATTTAACAGCTGTATTATTATCAGACCACAAAACTGACCGCAGAGCGTACTTAGTAAAACTATACTCTCTCAGTACATTACCGTTTTGATCTTTCGTAGTTGCTGAGTTTCCAGAAATTCATTCAGTTCTATCCTTGTGGCGTTGTCCCAGATAAGATAAGGATTCTCTGTGTTACTGTTCAACATCTTTAGGATCTACACAAAGAGACAAAAAGACTCTGGATTTCTATTTGTAATATAAACAAATAACAACATAGGCCATGGGCTCAGCATCAACTCGTTCTAGCTATGAGACAGTTAGCACTGGCCGTTTTAAAGGAGCTCAATCATGGTATTTTGAGCTCTTTTGACCACGTACAAAATTACCTTTACAATGAAGAAAACCTGAAAATAGTTCTCTACTAAGATAGAAAAACACCAAAGGGACGATAATAAACTATACAGAAGCAAGGATGATTAAGGATGGAGAAGATTGACACGGATTACAAACGACGAACTTGAAAACTTTAAGCTAAACTTCTCAAGATGCGCAAACGTGACGTAGCTCCTTTAACCCAAAAAATTAAAGACAACACAGGTCAATCAAAACTTGGCTTGAAAGAAGTCAACTGTAAAGTTTTACTTTAACCTCCTGGAAAAGATTTACTCCAATTTTGAAAGGAATTTAGTTACAGAGTAGAGTGTACCTCTTTCGGCGAGTCATTGCTGAGTTGTTTAGCGATGTAAGGAGTCAACATGCTGGAGAGAGACTTCCTGATGGCTGGGTTTTCAGGGGTGAAATTTTCATCACCTGAAAAAAACAAAACAAAACAAAAACAAAACAAAACAAACGCAAATGAGTTCTGGTGAGTTTTTTCCACTCATTCCTTACCAAATATCCCGAAAGGCGAACCATATTTCGTGTGCAAGCACAAGCATTCATACTAGCACTCAGAAACGCAGGCAAAAACACAAGAACAAAAGTGCATTTGCACATGCCGCCGGGGCGGTTGTGTTTAGAGCTGAAAACAGACCTATAAAGGACAAAGTTAGGTGTAATTCCATTTGCTTACAAAAGTTTGCCAATTTCCCCCGTAGCTTTAAAATGCACAAATCAAAGCTTGTCTGTACATTTTAGTGTGCACTATTCTGTATTGTCGCTAAGGTTCTTCGGTAGAATCCGCTAACAACGAAAAATGACCGAGTTTGTTCCTTTTTGGATTCCTACCTCAGCCAGGGGCGAATTTTCCAGAGCAGGACAAGATTTAATTAAGAAGAAGAATAATTTACGTACTCAGATATCCCCCGAGCCTGGCCAATGCATCAATACTCAAACGTGCCAGGTTGTTAGCAATTTCCTGCAAACAAAATAATTCAAAGTTAAATCCAGCACAACCCAGTGATACAAAGAAAACCCTAGAGAATACAAACCATTTGACTTAAAGGCATGTTTTGCGACAACTAAACAACAAAGAGTGTCGTACCAACACAAGATGTACAATTACTTCTAAAACTCATTAAGAATTCATCAAGAAGAAAATCATGACCGTGACGGTGTTTGGATACCTGATCTTAATCAGCAAAGATTTTTACAATTACATTTCTCCGTTTACTCCTTAGTTCGTAATTACGAATCCATAAATAAATAGTTTTAGTCTCGGTTGAGAGGATATATCAAACACTCAAGATAGTGTTTGACCACGTTTCCAAACACCCTGAAGTTCGTCAAAAATACTCCGCTACGCGTCAACCGATAAGGTGTCTTCGTTCAAATAATGATCACCTGCGACTGCACATACCGGTGTTTAGGACAAAGACCTACGAGGGACGCGCTTTTTCATCTTGTGCGCCAGCACTGTGGAATAGCCTCCCACTTGATGTGAGAAGTGCCCCATCAGTGGATACGTTTAAAACTAAGCTTAAAACGTTTTTGTTGAATAATGATCTTAAGTATTCTATAATGAATTTTAGTATCTTATGATGAATTTTAGTATTTAATGAATTTTAGTATTTTATCATCATTGTAATTTAATATTTTTTCCTTATATTGGTTTCGTTATCGTTTTTCTCATTTTTATTCTGTAAGAGCATTGAGATTTTTTAATGTAATGCGCTAGAAATAAATTATTATTAAATATTATTATACTTTCAATTCTCTTCTCGGTGTTTGGAAATGTGGCCAAACACGGCCTTTCGTGTTTCATATGTTACTTGCACATCAGTATATCTCTGAGACGCACTACGTTATTATAAATGAAGCTACAAAGGTGATTTTTACGAAAAGCAACCACGAAACCGTAGTCCAAGCTCGGGTTGGACAGCGCTTCCCCTTAAACGTTGTCTAAAACGTCATTTACGTCACCGCCCCTGAGCGTACAGTCGTGTATTAAGTTTCAACACATTCTTTTGAGAAGCTCGTTCAAAGTTTGCTACTCAGATTATGCTACTGGTCAAATTTGAGCACAATAGAACTGATTAGTATCGTGCAATACGCGTTGAACTTTTCAGACACTAATATTTAAATTAAATTTAACATGTTGTCTCATGAACTGTGTTTTGTGCTTTGTTTGCTGCACTTTCTAGATGGTGGATTCTACCATTAGGAGATCTATTCACCATTTTCTGCAGAACAATGTCTGTATGCCATTCAACATACTGGTTTTTTATTGGATCGCAGGCTCAAACCAAGTTAACTTATTGTAATCAGGAGCTCCGCTTTTGGGCTTGGCTAAATCTATGTATTATTGTCTTCTAACCTGTTGGTTAGTCTCTGCACTCTTCTCAACGCCGCTTTCATCCAGTGTGTAGTCATAATTGAAGAGAAACAGCAGTAAGTGCCACAAAACACCAGCCTGAAGTAAGGAAAAACACAGATTAGTTACAAAGTTGACTCACTCGTTATTTTCCGGCAAGATTTCAAGAAGCTCAAAAACATGCCTACCCCATGGAAAACTCAACAACGATAGTTTGATTACGTAGAATACAACTGAAGAAATAATGGAAATCCATTAAGAACTGAGAACAACAAACACCGGCGACAGCAACTTTGAAGCCTTTTAATTTGCCGCCATCTTGGTTGAGTGGTCAATAGACTGTTACAACGTCAGAAGCCAGTAAGGCGTCAAATTAGTTACACGCTGTAAATGGTTTGAACCCAGGAGTATCAGTAGTTCGTATAGTGTGATCGTCCGGGTGAGTGTAGTTCGAAACGTCAGTCACCAACAACAGTTCTTTTCAGAACTACACTCACCCGGACGATCACACTATACGAACTTAGTTACACGCTGTTAAACTGCAAGCATGGTGTTTAGCTTTTTGACTGGTTCAAAACTTTAGAAAACCGACAAAAGTTGTCACACTTGAACAGTTGCAATAGTTCAGTACCTTTCACTCTGATTATCCCTCGCACGCCATGTTTTATTACCTGTAAAAGTTGCGTTTGAAGCCAAAATTCCGCACTGAAAGCACTAACACACTCCGCCGCAACTGAACACAGCGCTGGGAGATTCTATAAGAAAAAATGAAAAAAAAAAATTGCCACAGATTAAAACAAATCTAGCTTTTTTGAACCTTGACGTAAAAGGACACGAAGAGGGCGTCTTCTTCAACCCGTTGTATATTTTAAAATGTGCAATAGCTTTCTAGCCCTGGTTAATTGCTGTAATTATGAACAGTGTGGAGTATAAAAAATTAATGAAATATGTCGAATTATTCTCGCATTTTGATCGGTTCTAGCGGGGAGGCGCGGTGGCCTCATGGATAGTGCGCTCGTCTCCGGNCCCTCCCTGGTTAACCTAAAAATTTTGGAGATGATCTTCCCCCGAAAAGAAGATGATAAAGTAAAACTAACCTGGACTGGTACTTCGTGGGGTTCAGTTGATGAAGTGAGGGCCTCTAAACAACGAGTGTAAGCTTCTTGTAGCGCCTGGTCAAAAATAAACACAGTTAACGCAAAAATTACTCAGGACACAACACAAGTACATTAACTGTAAAAGTTAAGAATGTCTATCAAAGCTTGTGTGTGCCACTTTTGAAGACGCCTTTCTCCTGCTATACCCCTCTCCAAACTATTAGGGCAACCTGACAAGAATGCTAGTAGCGCCTTTAAAATAATGCTGGGATGNCCCAAAGGGAGTAGCAATACTCCTTGTCGCTTCATGCTACAGAAACCGGTGGTGGAACATTCGCTCACAAAGCAGGTTTAGTGTTTTTTGTTTTTTTTTACGCACGAACACGAGCCAGTGATAACAACACCAAAAGCGTGCCGCAGTGAGGAAAACGTCAGAAAGACAATGAAGACAGCGAAGATCTAGCAATTTTTTTTACCTCAATTCCGTCTTCTCTGCGTAGTTCCTCAGCGTTAAGCGCTGAGCAGTTGATGGTGTGATAAGCGAGTTCACTCGCAGCTGTCAGCAGAGGAGCAGACTTGGAGAACAAAGCGTCATCTCCTGTCTCGAGTCTGATGGTCTTGATCAGCATGGGATAACCAGCGTACTTGTATGGTTGGAGCTCTGGAATAAAACAAAAACACGATATCAAGAGTGGCCCAGAGTTTCTATAGGACAAGTGAAAAGTCTCCACACTAAAATATTTTATTCATTCCCAAGTCTCTTATTGAGTTCTGAGACTTCTCCTTTTCAGGAGCTCAGTCACGGCATTTTGAGTTGTTTTGACCTCTTTCAAAATCACTTTCAAATTGAAGGAAACCTGAGAATAGTAGTTTACAAAGATAGAAAAACACCAAAGAGATAATAACAAGCCGTAAAGGAACAAGGATGGTTCAGGATGGAGAAAATTAACACAGATTACAAACGTCAAATTTGCAAGCCTTTTCATAATTCGTGACGTAGCTCCTACAAGGACCAGTTTACCATGTAATAATTCATAGTTAATGATAGTAACTAGGTAAGGAAGGAATTTATTTTACGAGGCTACCACTTGACAGTACAAATAATTCATAATTAGAATTTGGTACGGTAAAAGATAGGCCCTACCTTCCTTGTATCTCTTGAAGAGAATGGACTGCGACTTGAGAATAAGCACAATATTGTGTGGATCAGGGCCTTGTACTGTTCTTGAAGACTTAGAACACAGAAACTCATACGCCTTGTTCACTTTCTCAAAAATGTCCTGAAAAGAAACAAGGCCCAAAATGTNCTGTTTCGTGTGTACTTCTTGAAGAAATCTGAAATGGGGGCAAAAAATGCAGTCATTACGATGCACAACCTTGGGAATTGGCACTTCCTTTGGTAAAGCGATATGTAGCCTTGTGCCACGATACTCATTTGCAGAAACCAGGAATCCCCATTCTAACACATGTAAAATTAGTTTATTATACCTGCTCTATTTTTAATTGCTTTTGTCTGTTTTATGTTTGCTAAACAGGGACCAATCCTGCAAAACCTGGATGGGTAGAAAGAGTTCTTCACGCTTCTAAGTGTAACTGAAATCGTTTTGAAATAACACAACTACATACACATCTTAAGCTGAATAAGACAATACATTCGACAAACGGGCCATTATTCATAGAGGCAAAAATACTTCAATCCATTCTCTTTAAATACTACTACAGTAGGTGTAGTAAAAGATCAAGTGACTGGTCAGTGGTAAGATGAAGGTAAAGTTTGACTTCTGTCGAGAGAACCTAGAATTATTTCCCCAAACAACTCGAGACTAAATATTTTTGTCTCCATACATCATAACAGTTGTTACCTTCCAATAGGCAGCACGTTTGATCCAGTGTACATCATGATAAAGAAGAAAACTCCAGTCAGGTAGAGCCGAGGCAGGATAGGGTTGTCCTAGAAAACCAAAGAACTAAAATCTAATCTTGTTCATAAAATAAATACATACAAACAAACAAACAAAACATTGAAAACTTAAGGAAATTTACTGACAAAGGATTTGTTATATGGAAAAAGAAAATTCTTTTCTTGCGGGACACAGCGGGTAATCCTGAGCAGGCAAGATAGAGCCATCTTGACTGCTCGGGTAGCCAATCACAGCGCAGGATTCCATTTATCTTGCCGCTCACGCAGCCAGCCATAATATGTGTACGTATTGAACTTACCACCATCATATCCAGAAGAAGAATCGAAACTTTCTCCACAATAATGGGATCAAAGGTTAACAAGAGCTGTTGTAGAAAATAAACAATGAAAGATCATTCCGACAGTAAGGTAAAGATTGCTCAACTTGCTTCTGTCATTCATGGCCGAAAACCTTATCTTATTGCTCACTTCCTGACTAAAATAGTTAAGCCAAAATTTTTCAAGTTTGCCGTTTGCAATCCATGTTAATCTTCTCCATCATTACTATCCTTGCTACTTTATGGTTTATTGTTATCGCTTTGGTGTTTTTCTATCTTAGTAAAATATTACTTTCGGGTTTCCTTCAATTTAAAGGTAATTTCGTACGTGGCCAAAATAACTCAAAATACCGTGACTGAGATCCTTTAAACCCCATAAAAGTTGGCAGGCATTTTAAAAATTCAAATTTTCTATGCTTAGACTTCTTTATGCCTACTAGTTTACTTCACTAAAAAATTCTGCACTCCATATTTTCTACGGCATAATTGTTTTGCAGTAACATGGAGTACAGTCCGTCCTAAAAACGACTGTCAGTAGCAAAGTCAAGTAGCCGGAGCAAGAGCATAACTCTCTCAACTAAATTTGCAGAAAATATACGGCAGGCAACAGGGAGAATTTTGATGCTGAACTTCAATGGTTAAAGGCTTATGTGTAGGACATATCAAGCCTACATACCTGAACCAGATGAGGCAAACACGTTGCTTCTGACAGCATCCTCTTTGCTCTTGGAAGCGGTCGCACAATGGCACCGTCAGCATCCCTGACAACCAAAGGCAAGTACAAGAAATAATTATTTCCTCAGTAATAGAATATTAGGCAAAACGTTTATTACGAAATGGTATACTATCTAGACAATCATTAACACAAACGTCTAAAGCTGGGTATAGATCAAGTACATGTTCTTCCCAGTACGGGGTTGAGATAAAGAACTCTAGTGGCAATGTTATTACCACAAGTGTATTATTATTAGAGGTTGCAATCCGCTACAGAATTCCCTTCACATTATTGGCTAGTGCTAGTGATGTTGTTGTACAGCTCAAGTTTAGAGTAACAACTCTCCAGAAAAGAAATAAATATGAGGCGTTAGTAATTCATTTTCTTTTGACCAATGCGAATCTGAAAACAATTAAAAGCAAAACATGATCAGCCTATGAACAAAACAAAAAACGTTTCCCTCAACAGCAGAACTCCTTCTTCAATGGATTTTAAGGACAGCTCAGCAATATCAAATATTCAATTACTCGAAGTAGTGTCATATTACAATTCCAAACACGAATTTCGTCAAAAACTCAATTTTAACTCGCTTCTAGGTATTTGAAATGTGATGAAACCCTGTTCCTCGTGTTTGATGGATCAAGTCCTAACCTGTTTGGGTAGAATTCACAAATCTTGATGAGCATGTTCAAGATCAGAACAGCCAAATCGGATTCATTCATAACAGCGTTTCCAGTTGCTAGCAGGTACCACTTGAGCTGTGGGATGCTCTGCAGTGGCCTCCAACCATCCATACCCTGAGCCCAGCACTTTGTTTCAGGTCGTAGAGTTCCTTCAGCCGACATGTCCTTCATCTGTAACAACATCAAGCAACATTTTTACAAAATTTGCAAACTCAAAACTGTAAACATAGAGGACAAATTGAAAGCTTTNGCTTCATGGTTCACTCAATTTTATACATTATTTATTTTAATTAGAGATGAAAAATAGATGTGCGTACACGTATTGTCTGTATTTGGTGGTACATGAACTCTTAGGCCCGATTCAGATGCAGTACTTCACATGAGCCGAATCAAATGCGAATTTAGGCCGACCCAAATTGATTTAGACCGGCTGAATTGATTCGGACGCCGATCTCAATTCCAGCCGAACTAAATTCAATGGAATATAAAAGTGCATATCGATCGGCGCTGATACGTGCTGAACTCAGTTCAGTCCCGTAAACATAGTAAACAACAACAAAGCACGATCCAAAACCGTCCTGTGAAAAATATACGAAAGGTTGGCAAAAAGGAGCAGAATTAGGCTAACTGCATTTATTTTACTTTTTACATGTGACTGCAAGAAGACAACTGATAAATTGGTTCAGATGTCTTACTTCACATGAACTCAATTCTTTGAGCTCGATTCGGCTTATGTGAAGCACGGCATCTGAACCAGGCCTTACCCACCCATGCAGACATCTTTTGAGTTTGCCAGGAATTCTTAACTCCCTCGTGTAAGTGGGAGAGGAATGCGTGATATGTACAATGTATGAGGCAAATTAACTTCAAGTTTAAAACAATATTCTTTACTCTTGTCATGCACACTCTAGATGAAATTTTGATAATGCATCAAGAGATTAGAAGTTGGTAACTTGTTAATGACTTACTTGTAGTAGAATAGTTCCCAGTTTGCATCACTTTTGATTCTTTGTCTTCTCTTTCTTAGAATCACAGGCTTCTGATTTGTCTGTTGAGAAACATTGGTGAAGGTCATTCCTCTGAGTTGCATTGCGCGTCCCTACCGCGTACGATTTTCGCGTCATTAGCGCGCACTCACAAGCGCGTGCATACATCTACATACAACATCAAGAGATTTACTCCAAGCTAAGCTCGAAAGCGAAATGAACACCGTTGAAATTAATAATTGATGTAAAAGTTAATGACCTGCCTTTGCTATAACTTCTGTGACTATCAACAATTGTTTTTTCTAATTTTATTTTAAAAAGCGTTGAATTGTAGAGTGCTTTTCTTACATCTTTTGATTTCAATCCCATCTTTGTCCTCCAGTGAGTTAACACAACATCCAGCTGTACAAAGTACTGGTTCTTCTTAGGTTTGGACGAATCCTTCGATAAAAAAAAATTACTGTGAATGCATCGACTTAACAAAGAAATCATCAATCGAGGAAAATACTACATTTAGTCAGCAATGTTATACTTAGAAATGGCAGCCCGAGTAGCATGGAAGACTGATTTGTTTATTAAAATAACTTTGTGAATGGGGAGGTTTATGCTGTTTAAGATGATTTCCACAGAACATTCGCGCAATAATGGCAAAAATTAACTTACCAAAAAACCCTCATGGTGTCAAAATATTTTGAATACAGCTAAGACGAACTTATTGAGAATTCAGCTCTCAAGCTGACCCCGTGAGAGAAAATTGAACTTGAAGTTATCCATATTTCAATTAAAACAGACATTTCGCGTTAGTTGAAAGCACAATAACACACACTTTACGCACTCTTACGAGGTTTGACATTAAGTTTCTCGAGAATGCTTGCGAATTTAATTGTGGGGTCACTTATAAAAGAAATGAACTAAAGTGAGTTGTTTTAAATAGTATTCCAAAAGTTACTGTGCTGTGAGTAGATTTTTAGTAAATGATTTTTGCACTTATTGCTAGTTGGACTTTGAGCGGAATCCGTCTTAAAACGATTTCAGTCAGTTTTGGCTTCACTGTTTTACTCTATATACGTTGTATGGAGAGGAACTGTTCAGTGAGGCTAAAACTCGTTGACATCACTTTAAAACGGCGTAATCCTCCTCAGCAACATAATATACACACAAACGAAGCCACAAAGGCATTTTACAGCATTCTGTTTCAGTATGTTTAGCTGCTGAATATGATTGTTACATTCCCATACTACCGGTAACTGTTATAATTACATTGTTTTGCAACGTTTTATAACAAAGCACAATGAGATAAAGAAACCTGTGGTCCTAGTATTTTCAAAATTATTTTCAGTTAGACTCTCACATCTTTAAGGGTTGACGGCTTGAACGCAATTAAAACAGTGGCCAAAACGCATGTAAATTTACATTCAGACTTGTTAATTCAGTAGAATTTGTTTTTAAAAGGGAAACAAATACATCGCTAATATCGCTGGACCAACAATTGTTTTTGTTGCTTACTTCAGCAAGTTTCACATTGTCTCGGACATGGAGCTTGTCAATCTCGGCCTCTGGGACCTATTATCAAATAAATAAGAAGACATGAGACAAAGTTTAAATCTTAGATTTACATTAGTAACATTAAGAAACATTTTCATCAGCCTTACTGGCAAATGTGTGTGTAGCTACTCTCTCTCAGCTACCTTTCATTACTTGGAAAATTTCAAGCAATTTAAAGGAAATGAAGTTTTGCATTTAAATGAAAATCATCCACAACTGGGAATTGCCACGATTGCAGATGAACTTGGTGTTTCTTTCTTTCATTTAAAACAAATACAAGGCAAATATTGACAAAGCACAGGGGCAGATCAATACCGGTTTCCACCGTTTTATGAAAATCAGTCAGATATTTCAGAATTACTCAAGAACCCCCCGGCAAAAGGGGACTTTAGGAAAAAAAATTCCAGAACATTTCTCAAGGGAGCATGGCCCTGGACCCCTCCAGAAGACACTCGTTATTTCGGAAATCAGTCACCATTTATCCTAGATCCGCGCCTGAAGCATGATATAACCAAACTCTTATAGGATCTTTCGTTAATGAAAAAATCTCCAAAAGAATTATTCCTACAAAAAATTCAGCATCTTCAAACATGAAGTGATTAATTACAATACCTTTTCTTCTGACTGGAGATAATTCATGAGTCCTGCAGGCTACAGACAAGACAATAATTTATAATCGTTATTTTAGCTGCATAAATTCTCGTCATTACTCACAATTTTAGTGCATACAAAACATGGTCTACATGGAAGAGAGCAAAAAACACTAAAAAATGTTGTTTAAAGAGATGATTTCACGGCTCGATGAAAGTGCGACCTCCAGCGTTAGACCACTCAATTCCACGGTTCATGAAACAATCTAAAGAAAGCTGATGACTGTTAGGGGAAATTTTCCTTTGAAAGTTTCAAAGTCAGTTTTAAGAACATTATATTTCTCACAAAGCTGCGGCATGACTCCTTTGCATTGCTTATAAACTAATTTGATGTGAGTAGCTAACTAATACTAGCATGATCAGGAACCGTTATTGAACTTGAACATATGTGCACAATCAAACCAGAACCAAGATTTTCTGGTTCTGGTTTTTTTATTTCATCCAGAACGTTGGGTGTTTGGTCACCACTGACCAAAAACACGTGGGCGCTGGGGAGAAAAGATTGAGTGCAAGTTTCTTACCATTATCCTCTTCAGAAGTCCCATGGCAGTGGGATGACCTGTGACCCACAGAGTAACCAAGTGCCTGCTAAGCTGTCTGTTGATAAAAATCATCAATGATGAATGATCAGTTATGAGAGCAAATCAACTTACATCATGACATAACTGCTGAAGTCATGCTATCAAGCTAAGTATCGGTAAGCATGCAGCACAATCCAAGGTGCACTGTTACATGTATGTCGTGAACAAAGTTAACTTCAGTACGCCATTACCATTGGCAATGTTACACCGTATAAAATCCTTGAAACCTTTAGATGTACATCATCACGTCACAATGCACTTGAGATACCTGGAGATCACTCAAAAAGTTAGAGTTGCTCTCGATGGTGCCTTGAGCAAGCAGGTTAATACTGGTGTATACATGTAAACGGGTACCGGCAAATTAATGCTGGGAATAACCCTGCGATGGACAAGCATCCCATCCAGGGGATATTGAAAAATTCTTCATCACTTAATGCTGCAGAAGCCAGGATAAAATGTATAAAGTGCCGGCTGTATGAGCTGAGCAGACTTAACCTTTACCATAATGATCTCACCTGTTTGTGAGTAATCTGTTATCTGAGCTCTGAGTATACATTGCTGTGTGAAGGTGACGAGGCAGGGCTCCTTCAGCCAAGGCAAGATCCTGCATTTTTGCTGCAATCTCTGAGTCTCCCTCCTGCAGAACAGAATCAAATATATACAGACTGTAAAACTTTCCTCAGGTGATAAGCAGCAACTGCTTGAAGAAAACACTCCCTAATGTTTACTACCATCATAAGTTCATGGCAAATGGGCTCTGTCTGGGAAAAAGTGAGTTTTCCTACCAACGATACATAATTACTACTGTAGTTTGAAAGCTTACATGTATAAAAATTATGTGCATCAGTCTAGTTAACATTCCTGCATGGAAATGTCAACAGCACTTTGTGAATGTATTTTACTCAGAGGGTACACTGTAAGTTCACAATGCTTCATGAGGGTCCAAGAAGAAAACCAACAATGTGCCGTATATAGTTTTAAGATTAAAACTACAGTTAACGACCAAGAAAGGTAAATGGTGTTTTACAAATTACATTAGTTTCTAAAGAAAAAGTTGGGCTGCGCCAGTGGGCATGTGAAACACTTCGGTATGTACCAACTTGAAGTCAGTAGAGGTAAAATAAACACTGTAGAAAGTGAGCTAAGCTGGCGTTTTGAGCGTTGTACTGTGTCTTACCTCGATTACAGCTTTCATTACCATTCCAGCCCCTTTCACAATTGCCATGGATGGATGCTGATCAAGAATAGAGATAAATCAAGGAAAAAAGTCAATCCTTAGGCTTATTTATGCCACACCAAGAGCTTTACCAAATGGGCTAAAATTTATTTAGAAGTGTGACACATTATTGCATGTACGTCTACGTTTTCAGTCACAGGCAGAAACTTATCTGTCTTCACTTGCTACAGAAATAAAATCCACCGCATGAATCATACATACATGTACGTGTACAATAAGTACTCAGCTCAGTTGTGGTCTGTGGCACATACCAAACTGAATAAAACCTACTGTTACTGTACTGTACCTGGAATAATTTGAAAATGTTACGTCCAAGATCCGCAACCATTTCCAACAAGGTGTCGAACTGAGTTCCTTCTGTTGTTTCACTGTGGATACAGGTAACACAGACTGTGTTTAGAACAGCACTACATTGATGGACAAATTAAAACCACTTGCTAGTTCCTTCTTAGTCATCTTGTAAAGTGAACAGAGTTTACAGGTGGAGCAGTTGTTTCTAAGTTCAAGGCATGATAGGTTTTTCTTGAGTTTAACATTAGATAAGTATTTTCCTTTTTGAAGCGAATTACTGTAACAAGTATTGTGGATAACCCACATTAAGCCCAAACGTAATTGCCTCATTTGTGGCATAATATGTTTCAAAAGTACATATACACATACATGTACAGGCATGTAACACATCCCAAGTCTTCTTGAAAATGAAGTAATGTCACAATAGTTGTAATCACTGGAGTAAAAATATTAATAAATATTATGATAAGGTAACAATTACTTTTCATGAAATCTATATTAATGATGCACATTTTTGTACCTGTATGGTGGACACAATGCAAAAGTCAGGAAGTCAAGAAGTGAACTAACAACAAGAGCTCCTGTGCTTCTGTTCTGTAGGGAAAAAAGGTTTAATTTTACTTCACGGTAGCAGTACGTTTTCTACCACAAACTGCAGCTATTTTTGTCACACAAGCCCTCCAAAGAATTCAAACATGGAGTGAATTGAAAGCTCACCTCTTTTAAAAAACCTGGCTTAAAATGTTGTTAACTGCTACAGGGTTTTCATCAACGTTTTCAGCAGGTGTACAACTGGTTTTCACAAGCAGGCAAAACAATTTGAACAGAGATTCTCTAATATGGTCAAACCAGAATGGTCCAACCAGGCAGGCAAAATCATCCTCACGGCCCATCAATTTGCCCCATACCCATCCCTCAATGAAACCGCTGCTGTTAGGAAATGTTTGAAGGCCAGCTGGCATATAAAACCCTTTAATGCCTCTAATGGTGAAAACATTTTTTTCTGGACATACATGAATTTGTACAGGTCTACTAAAGACATTTACATGAAGAATGTTAAAAACAATTTAACCAGTACTTACTACATGGGTAGTGAAGATATCTAGGAGTGTTGCAAGGAATTTTCTTGATGACAAAAGTGATGATTTGTTCATCTGTTCTTGCCTGAGGTCATAGTTATCATGCATGGGCTAAAACAGGAGATCAAAAGTATTTGTAATGATTGTTTTGACATTGTATTTGTTGATTCTTCATCAGTCATGGTCATCATCGACATCAGTAGATGTAGATCATTGATTCTTCACTGCTGTACATTGCTCAAAGAGAATTTCTCTTTTTCACAAGAGAAAGGATTTTATTACATACTTGGTACTTTACTCATACAGTCAGCTCTCTCAACAAAACTGACCGCTGAGCCAGCAGTAATCACAGAAGTTGCTGTAAAGGATGCAGCTAAGAGCCAGCTGCAGCCTAATTTCACTGGCTGAGGGAGGACTTAACAAACTCAGTCCTGAGAAGAACCTTGGGCTAACTTTGGGGCTGCCAAGGCCACAAAAGCCAGATGGGCTTGGTAATGAGCCAGCTTGGGCCCTGTCCACACATATCCAGATATTTTTGAATCCGCAACTTTTTCTTTCTGGATACGGCTTCTGTCCACACACATCCGGCAAATTCAGCTGCGAATCTGGATATTTTCGAATCCGCTCTCTTTAAATCCGGAAAGAAAAAGTTGCGGATTCAAAAATATCCGGATACATGTTGACGGGGCTTTAGTGTCTTCTTACATGTAGCTTCCTCCCTGCCTGTGTTCTCTCTACACATGACCAGAAACCATGATCAAACTTGGACATATGCACACAATCAAACTGGAACCAAGAATTTCTGGTTTCAGTTGTCCATTTCACTCCACAGGGTAGGAGGTTTGCTGACCAAAAACGTGTGCGCTTCGGGGACAAGATTGTGTCAGATTTCGGGCTCTTACCTGCATCAACGCACAGAGCATGTCAATTGCAGCATGCGTTACTCCATCATCATTTCTTTTCAGTGCTTTAACAACCTTCACACCAAGCTTGTCTCTGAACCTGGTGTGTGAAGAATGCAACATAATTAACTCTCATCCTATAATGCAAATAAAAATCATAATACTTGACAGTTTATGTGTTATGAACACTACTCAAGGCAACAAGGAGAAGTGGAGAACAGATATTTCAACAACCATACCATGCTGCAGCACCCATCAGAGAGCAATAGGAGAGGCACACAGTTCTCAATTTCCTCTAGACAACGAATTTTAAAAACTGCTAGGCAGAATTATACANTTTCAGTATGTTTAGCTGCTGAATATGATTGTTACATTCCCATACTACCGGTAACTGTTATAATTACATTGTTTTGCAACGTTTTATAACAAAGCACAATGAGATAAAGAAACCTGTGGTCCTAGTATTTTCAAAATTATTTTCAGTTAGACTCTCACATCTTTAAGGGTTGACGGCTTGAACGCAATTAAAACAGTGGCCAAAACGCATGTAAATTTACATTCAGACTTGTTAATTCAGTAGAATTTGTTTTTAAAAGGGAAACAAATACATCGCTAATATCGCTGGACCAACAATTGTTTTTGTTGCTTACTTCAGCAAGTTTCACATTGTCTCGGACATGGAGCTTGTCAATCTCGGCCTCTGGGACCTATTATCAAATAAATAAGAAGACATGAGACAAAGTTTAAATCTTAGATTTACATTAGTAACATTAAGAAACATTTTCATCAGCCTTACTGGCAAATGTGTGTGTAGCTACTCTCTCTCAGCTACCTTTCATTACTTGGAAAATTTCAAGCAATTTAAAGGAAATGAAGTTTTGCATTTAAATGAAAATCATCCACAACTGGGAATTGCCACGATTGCAGATGAACTTGGTGTTTCTTTCTTTCATTTAAAACAAATACAAGGCAAATATTGACAAAGCACAGGGGCAGATCAATACCGGTTTCCACCGTTTTATGAAAATCAGTCAGATATTTCAGAATTACTCAAGAACCCCCCGGCAAAAGGGGACTTTAGGAAAAAAAATTCCAGAACATTTCTCAAGGGAGCATGGCCCTGGACCCCTCCAGAAGACACTCGTTATTTCGGAAATCAGTCACCATTTATCCTAGATCCGCGCCTGAAGCATGATATAACCAAACTCTTATAGGATCTTTCGTTAATGAAAAAATCTCCAAAAGAATTATTCCTACAAAAAATTCAGCATCTTCAAACATGAAGTGATTAATTACAATACCTTTTCTTCTGACTGGAGATAATTCATGAGTCCTGCAGGCTACAGACAAGACAATAATTTATAATCGTTATTTTAGCTGCATAAATTCTCGTCATTACTCACAATTTTAGTGCATACAAAACATGGTCTACATGGAAGAGAGCAAAAAACACTAAAAAATGTTGTTTAAAGAGATGATTTCACGGCTCGATGAAAGTGCGACCTCCAGCGTTAGACCACTCAATTCCACGGTTCATGAAACAATCTAAAGAAAGCTGATGACTGTTAGGGGAAATTTTCCTTTGAAAGTTTCAAAGTCAGTTTTAAGAACATTATATTTCTCACAAAGCTGCGGCATGACTCCTTTGCATTGCTTATAAACTAATTTGATGTGAGTAGCTAACTAATACTAGCATGATCAGGAACCGTTATTGAACTTGAACATATGTGCACAATCAAACCAGAACCAAGATTTTCTGGTTCTGGTTTTTTTATTTCATCCAGAACGTTGGGTGTTTGGTCACCACTGACCAAAAACACGTGGGCGCTGGGGAGAAAAGATTGAGTGCAAGTTTCTTACCATTATCCTCTTCAGAAGTCCCATGGCAGTGGGATGACCTGTGACCCACAGAGTAACCAAGTGCCTGCTAAGCTGTCTGTTGATAAAAATCATCAATGATGAATGATCAGTTATGAGAGCAAATCAACTTACATCATGACATAACTGCTGAAGTCATGCTATCAAGCTAAGTATCGGTAAGCATGCAGCACAATCCAAGGTGCACTGTTACATGTATGTCGTGAACAAAGTTAACTTCAGTACGCCATTACCATTGGCAATGTTACACCGTATAAAATCCTTGAAACCTTTAGATGTACATCATCACGTCACAATGCACTTGAGATACCTGGAGATCACTCAAAAAGTTAGAGTTGCTCTCGATGGTGCCTTGAGCAAGCAGGTTAATACTGGTGTATACATGTAAACGGGTACCGGCAAATTAATGCTGGGAATAACCCTGCGATGGACAAGCATCCCATCCAGGGGATATTGAAAAATTCTTCATCACTTAATGCTGCAGAAGCCAGGATAAAATGTATAAAGTGCCGGCTGTATGAGCTGAGCAGACTTAACCTTTACCATAATGATCTCACCTGTTTGTGAGTAATCTGTTATCTGAGCTCTGAGTATACATTGCTGTGTGAAGGTGACGAGGCAGGGCTCCTTCAGCCAAGGCAAGATCCTGCATTTTTGCTGCAATCTCTGAGTCTCCCTCCTGCAGAACAGAATCAAATATATACAGACTGTAAAACTTTCCTCAGGTGATAAGCAGCAACTGCTTGAAGAAAACACTCCCTAATGTTTACTACCATCATAAGTTCATGGCAAATGGGCTCTGTCTGGGAAAAAGTGAGTTTTCCTACCAACGATACATAATTACTACTGTAGTTTGAAAGCTTACATGTATAAAAATTATGTGCATCAGTCTAGTTAACATTCCTGCATGGAAATGTCAACAGCACTTTGTGAATGTATTTTACTCAGAGGGTACACTGTAAGTTCACAATGCTTCATGAGGGTCCAAGAAGAAAACCAACAATGTGCCGTATATAGTTTTAAGATTAAAACTACAGTTAACGACCAAGAAAGGTAAATGGTGTTTTACAAATTACATTAGTTTCTAAAGAAAAAGTTGGGCTGCGCCAGTGGGCATGTGAAACACTTCGGTATGTACCAACTTGAAGTCAGTAGAGGTAAAATAAACACTGTAGAAAGTGAGCTAAGCTGGCGTTTTGAGCGTTGTACTGTGTCTTACCTCGATTACAGCTTTCATTACCATTCCAGCCCCTTTCACAATTGCCATGGATGGATGCTGATCAAGAATAGAGATAAATCAAGGAAAAAAGTCAATCCTTAGGCTTATTTATGCCACACCAAGAGCTTTACCAAATGGGCTAAAATTTATTTAGAAGTGTGACACATTATTGCATGTACGTCTACGTTTTCAGTCACAGGCAGAAACTTATCTGTCTTCACTTGCTACAGAAATAAAATCCACCGCATGAATCATACATACATGTACGTGTACAATAAGTACTCAGCTCAGTTGTGGTCTGTGGCACATACCAAACTGAATAAAACCTACTGTTACTGTACTGTACCTGGAATAATTTGAAAATGTTACGTCCAAGATCCGCAACCATTTCCAACAAGGTGTCGAACTGAGTTCCTTCTGTTGTTTCACTGTGGATACAGGTAACACAGACTGTGTTTAGAACAGCACTACATTGATGGACAAATTAAAACCACTTGCTAGTTCCTTCTTAGTCATCTTGTAAAGTGAACAGAGTTTACAGGTGGAGCAGTTGTTTCTAAGTTCAAGGCATGATAGGTTTTTCTTGAGTTTAACATTAGATAAGTATTTTCCTTTTTGAAGCGAATTACTGTAACAAGTATTGTGGATAACCCACATTAAGCCCAAACGTAATTGCCTCATTTGTGGCATAATATGTTTCAAAAGTACATATACACATACATGTACAGGCATGTAACACATCCCAAGTCTTCTTGAAAATGAAGTAATGTCACAATAGTTGTAATCACTGGAGTAAAAATATTAATAAATATTATGATAAGGTAACAATTACTTTTCATGAAATCTATATTAATGATGCACATTTTTGTACCTGTATGGTGGACACAATGCAAAAGTCAGGAAGTCAAGAAGTGAACTAACAACAAGAGCTCCTGTGCTTCTGTTCTGTAGGGAAAAAAGGTTTAATTTTACTTCACGGTAGCAGTACGTTTTCTACCACAAACTGCAGCTATTTTTGTCACACAAGCCCTCCAAAGAATTCAAACATGGAGTGAATTGAAAGCTCACCTCTTTTAAAAAACCTGGCTTAAAATGTTGTTAACTGCTACAGGGTTTTCATCAACGTTTTCAGCAGGTGTACAACTGGTTTTCACAAGCAGGCAAAACAATTTGAACAGAGATTCTCTAATATGGTCAAACCAGAATGGTCCAACCAGGCAGGCAAAATCATCCTCACGGCCCATCAATTTGCCCCATACCCATCCCTCAATGAAACCGCTGCTGTTAGGAAATGTTTGAAGGCCAGCTGGCATATAAAACCCTTTAATGCCTCTAATGGTGAAAACATTTTTTTCTGGACATACATGAATTTGTACAGGTCTACTAAAGACATTTACATGAAGAATGTTAAAAACAATTTAACCAGTACTTACTACATGGGTAGTGAAGATATCTAGGAGTGTTGCAAGGAATTTTCTTGATGACAAAAGTGATGATTTGTTCATCTGTTCTTGCCTGAGGTCATAGTTATCATGCATGGGCTAAAACAGGAGATCAAAAGTATTTGTAATGATTGTTTTGACATTGTATTTGTTGATTCTTCATCAGTCATGGTCATCATCGACATCAGTAGATGTAGATCATTGATTCTTCACTGCTGTACATTGCTCAAAGAGAATTTCTCTTTTTCACAAGAGAAAGGATTTTATTACATACTTGGTACTTTACTCATACAGTCAGCTCTCTCAACAAAACTGACCGCTGAGCCAGCAGTAATCACAGAAGTTGCTGTAAAGGATGCAGCTAAGAGCCAGCTGCAGCCTAATTTCACTGGCTGAGGGAGGACTTAACAAACTCAGTCCTGAGAAGAACCTTGGGCTAACTTTGGGGCTGCCAAGGCCACAAAAGCCAGATGGGCTTGGTAATGAGCCAGCTTGGGCCCTGTCCACACATATCCAGATATTTTTGAATCCGCAACTTTTTCTTTCTGGATACGGCTTCTGTCCACACACATCCGGCAAATTCAGCTGCGAATCTGGATATTTTCGAATCCGCTCTCTTTAAATCCGGAAAGAAAAAGTTGCGGATTCAAAAATATCCGGATACATGTTGACGGGGCTTTAGTGTCTTCTTACATGTAGCTTCCTCCCTGCCTGTGTTCTCTCTACACATGACCAGAAACCATGATCAAACTTGGACATATGCACACAATCAAACTGGAACCAAGAATTTCTGGTTTCAGTTGTCCATTTCACTCCACAGGGTAGGAGGTTTGCTGACCAAAAACGTGTGCGCTTCGGGGACAAGATTGTGTCAGATTTCGGGCTCTTACCTGCATCAACGCACAGAGCATGTCAATTGCAGCATGCGTTACTCCATCATCATTTCTTTTCAGTGCTTTAACAACCTTCACACCAAGCTTGTCTCTGAACCTGGTGTGTGAAGAATGCAACATAATTAACTCTCATCCTATAATGCAAATAAAAATCATAATACTTGACAGTTTATGTGTTATGAACACTACTCAAGGCAACAAGGAGAAGTGGAGAACAGATATTTCAACAACCATACCATGCTGCAGCACCCATCAGAGAGCAATAGGAGAGGCACACAGTTCTCAATTTCCTCTAGACAACGAATTTTAAAAACTGCTAGGCAGAATTATACAGGTGATACACAACAGACTATGTGTCTAAGCTCCAGCAGGTGCCAGGTCTTATTATAAGCTGCCATCAAGTGTACAGGTGTACATACAAGGTCAAAAGTCAGCCTGTCTGTTATCTTTCTGCTGTAAAAGTGATTATTATACAGCTAGCTCTGTGAGTGGCCAAGATTGACCAAATCCTACACTGTGATTGGCCACCCAAGCAGGCAAGATGGCACTATTTCACCCGCACAGGATTACCCGCTGTCTCCCAAGATAAAAATTTCCCCAAAAGCCATTTAATAAATCCTTTATAGACCAGGCTTGTAAAAAAAAAAAAAAAAAAAAAAATTGGCCAATATCAATTCATCTTGACCTCACACTTGGTCAATAACTCATACATATGTATATCTTACTTGGGTAGAGTTGTGAAGGCTTGAAATCCTGCTTTTGAAGCAACAAGTCTCCTAATGGCTTGAAACTGTCCTTCAAGATCTTCAACCGTGATGGTGCTTTGATCACCTACATGTAAAAGATAGAAGTAATATTAATATGATTTTTTGTAGTATATTCTTGGGCTTATTATTACTAGTAGTTGTTACTGTTTATGTCTAGATAATTATTATCTATGAAAGATACTTGTTATCATACACGTAAAATATGCTTTGTACATGCTGTGTATTTAATTATGCAAAATAAATTTACAGACATGTACTGTAATAAATTTGTCTTTTCTAGATATATCAGAGGGCAGTTTATCATAAATTATTACATCTGCCCTTTCAATCCATTATCAATAACTATTTATTTGTTAATCTGATGGAGTGATTTCATAAGTTACCTTCCATTGCTAACAGTGCTGTGATTGCTCCTGTTATAAGCTTTTCTTTGTTCTCAGCAAACAGCCCCTGCAGATATGAAGAAAAAAGAAACTGGCTATTAAAAAAAACTACCAAAAAACTGATAATAGTAAAAACAAGGACACTCTAACAAAAAAGGCAGAGCTATGTAGTGCACATTTTACTCACATCTTGTGTAACTGCATGAAGTAATCCATTGTAAGGGATGTTGCTGTTAAACCTTTCTACTGCTTCTGCAAATGTGGCTGGGAGAAGAAAAGTATGGGTGAGGTTTCTACTTAAAAAACAAAAACGAAAAACTACTAAATTATGCAAATCAGAAAACAGAGGTTGATTACTTTTAATTCTAACCCTTTCCCTAACTAGATACAAGTATGGCATTCTAACCAAACAGAAATGCAGACAGACAGAAAGACAAGCAGACAGACAGACAGGCAGACAGGCAGACAGGCAGGCAGATAAACAGACATATAGACATACAGACAGACAGACAGGCAGACTTCCACAAACCATGATTTTGGAACAATTTGGTTTAAATTGTCAAAAACTGTTCTACCTGGAGGAACAGCAAGAAATCTCAGATGTTGACTTTCAACTTCCTCATCCACAGTTGATATGACTGGAGCAAATCTGAAACCTGCAGTAAGAACAAATATGAGGTTTTCCCATAAATGTTCCTAAAACTGTTTTTTTTTCTTTTTTATGAAACAATGTTATCCCTAAGTGTCTCACTTTAAATCACTAGATGAACCAATATGTTCATTCATAAATTTTTCTTTAATTCACATGAACTTTACAGTTAATACATGTAGATTCAGGTACAAAAAAACTACATGTACACATACATATGTAGGATGAACTTGGATAAGTCTTGTTTGAGACAGGACACCAGTTGATCGACATGTTTCTCTAATCTGGAGGTGATGAAATGGGAACAACAAACAAACAAACCTCTCTTAGTTGGTTTCACTTTGACACAGACGTCTCTGTTGCCACTGGCACGGACACCGTCGAGCAAACTGGCCAGCAAAGAGTCCCTTAAGGAAATGATCAGAAATACGTTCGTGAACATGCTGAGAGTTGCCCTAATACACAAGCAACAACTTTCCTTCTCTCCTTATTGATTTTTACCATTTATGTTTGTTTACATCATACAGTACCTCTCAGTTGACATGAATTTCTTTGTGGCTCCACGGATGAACTCCACAGCAAACATCTGAGGATTTTCGGTACTGCGAATAATGGCAAACACCTGTTGACAGAACATCAACAGTTGATTACTCTCAAGTGGTCAAAATCCATTTTCCTCTCACAATATCACCACATTGTTAAGCAGAGAGGTGTTGAGAATTCAGAGTAAACCTCACAGTAAGTACTGTACGTGTATCTGTGTGATCATATGTACAATAAAACTTACATTTTAGTTCTTTAGAGCGATTGTCAATTGAGTGTTGAAAGTAAACAGGCAATTACTTTGGTTAGAACTGGTTTTGGTTTTAAATACTATGGTTTGAGATTGGCTGAGTAGTTTAATTGGTAAGTAATTAGTTTGGTTTTGGTTTTAAGACACTCAATTGAAAACTGTACTAAAGAAGAACAAATCAAATATTAACATAATCAAGAGTAGGAGTAACCTTCAATGGACTAGCTTGCTGAAGTTACAATGTAAGTGCTGGCAAAAAGAGTCCCTTTGCTAAAAATTATTAAGTACCTTTAATTCATGCTGCTGCATTGCACAAATTACATTTATTAAGTTATATAAAATTTATGTAGATCTTACATCAGAAAGTGGATGACAGCTGACAATGATGTACGTTGCGGGATCTCTTTCTATGATACATGTCTCTGATAAACATAAGGTGCGGACTACAGGATCCTGTAAAAAACAAGTCAACATAAAAGTTCAAAGAGGAGTTACATGTACATGTACATTTGGCAGATTACATGTCCATTGTATAACTGGTATAAGTATCATACAGAGAAGTATTAATTGAAAGTGATTCTGACAACTAGCTCATTCTCGACAGCTGTCAGCAGGTCTTTTCTCCTGCAAGTAGGTTGATACACATAGATGAGGGATACTGGTGAGGGATATTCAATTCTAATTTGGATAATAACAATTTGCTGCCAACTTACATGATGTCTTGGTGATATTTTTTGGACTTTAAACTCAGCTAATGATGTGATATGTTCATCTTCACTGTAGGAGAGATATGTACATGTAATATAAATACAATGGTATGGAAGCAAGGGCAGGTAACGTAAAGATTTAGTTGGCAGACGACTTGCCTGATCCCTTGCCCATTGGGCAAGTGAGAATGAAAAGGTACATGCCCAGAAGGAGAATCTACTTATCCCGGATGACCAGACAGAGCTTTTTCTGAGTCCTGATAACAGCCAAGTGGCTCATACATGTACATACATGCAGAGTCAGAGCTTATCCTGGTTTCTGCAGCAGGAAGGAACTACATGAAGGAGTATTTTTACTCCCCCTGGATAGAATGCTTGTCCATCCCAGGATAGTACCTCCAGGTTTAAATTTGCTGGTAGCCATTTCTATACCTGGGATGATAGAACTACTAGCTGTGAGAGTAGAGTGTCTTTCCAGAGAATGCAAGTCAATGTCCCACTTATGTTCATGATAGAATGCAATTATTGTTTAATTAGTACTTCATATTTGGCAGGGTTATTTGACATTTTCATATTACTTCATATTTGACAGAATCGTGTGTGTTTTGGTGACTTTTTACCAATGACAACACTTTGTGATGCTTATCATAAGGTATTTAAATCTCTAGCATTCAATCCTGGACATATCTGCAATGTCCCTGCAATGTCCCTGGCCACAGCTTGAACCCAGACCACGTGATCCAGGGTCATGCCAACTACATGTAACCTTGAGCCCACCGCTCCTCCCACGCCAGTGCCAAGGGAGGGAATAGGAATTGTGTTTGTGACAACTGAGGTTCAAATTTACAAACCAACCCTCATTACATTGAATTTGACTAAATCCTCACCATATCAAGGTTTTTTTAGACGCACTTTCCCGTAGAATTAAACTGTGTTGAATGTTCAGCATGTCAGTTCACATGCACATGTACATGTACAGTAGTATGAAATTTTTGGGGTTGAATCATAGATGTTTCTCAAGATAGAAGAGGAAATATTGGGCATGTGAAACAAGACATCAGTTCACTAAGGCTCATAGCTAGCTGCAATCAACTTACCTAAATTTTCCAAATTTGTGTTTTAGAAACTGGTCATGTGTTATAGGTTTACTCCTTTGTCTGCAGGAGAAAGAGAACAGATACCAACAGTGAATCATTAATGTATTTCCAGTAGGTAATTTAATTACTTTTATTAGCCTAGCAAACAAGAACTCATCATGTGTGGTGCCTTTAAAGTTAGTGGGGTTAGGCAGCAATCAGACATGGGAAAGGAGGTATCCATGGTAACACTGCAAGTGGCCACCACCAAAGGCAGAGAAAGAAGTAAAAACTTGTTAATTCAGCAGGCAAAAATGGCCTTACTCCAAGGCCAGAAAGTAAGCAAATGCAAATTATAAACCAAAAGATGCTCCCAGCAGTGGTTCAAAGGCCTCCCTAAGCCACACAGAGGGGTGACCGCCGACCAGCGTTGTCTCAAAGATAACCTTGTCTTAATTATTTTCACTCACATTTAATTTAAATTGGAAAAGTAATGAGTATCAACTAACTTGATTGAGACACCAACATAAGCCATGGCATATTCTGACATTTTCTTCATTAGCTCATCTCTCTGTTCCAGTGCAAAGAGATGCTGAAAAAAAGATGTAACAGAATGATAAATTTTGTAAGTTATGTACAACCTTCTCTTGGACCACAGAATTTATAAGAAAACAAACAATCAACATAAAGCAAGTAAGTCTTCAAATACACTGCCACAGCCTCTTAACATAATTATTATGTATGTCTGTCTGCTTGAACTTTACAAAGGTAGTTATCTCACTCAAAATGGCAAGGCCACTAGCCAACATGTAAAACTACATTGTAGCAAGCAGGTTCTTTCTACCAAAGTCATTGGATAACTTAACTATGGTCATGTAAAACTATCATTAAACATCCCCTGCCCTGATTGATGTGCGACTTAAAAACTGCTGATGTGATGTACACTTACAAGTCTACTAAAACCGCCATAAACAACTGCAATTCCCCCTGGGTAGTCTGACACCTGAAAACAAATGAAGAACACAGTGTTTACATGTATAACACATGTACATGTAGATAAAAGTCCAGCAAGCTTCAGATACTGAAAAGTTCTGAAAATAGTAATCCCCTCAAAAACAACATCAAAATTTTGTGGCTGCTAATGCGTCACAAAAGTAGTGAACTCCTGACTATAGCAAGCTCACGAAAGAAGCAACCTTCTTGTCCTTGTCCTGTCAACAAAGCAGATGGAAGGTCTGACAAGAACTGCATGAAAAATGCCCTACAGAAAACTCATGCTGACCACTGATGACACAATCTACATAAAAATGTGATGCCTGGATGTATTTACATTCACCCACTGTACATACACTAATAGCGGTCGGGTATCATGATATCTTCAAAACAGGGTCATCATATCATTGATGTTTTAATACCCAAAGAATTTACTTCTGAGAATTCTATAATGCAGATAGCTTATGGTGCATTAAATCTTTATTCTCACTTTGTTCAACTATTCTGACACATCTTAATAATTAACTGTACATGTATCTACCGGTACAACTCCTTCCAGTTCCTTGTAATCATATGAGCAGAGCTTTTCTCTTGTTGTAGGATCAATTTGGTCCAAGGAGCAAGGAGTAACCTAAGAAAAGGTAGAAACAACAATGTTAAAGACCTAGGTTTGGCCAAGATGCATTTTGCACTGTGCAGCATTGGAAAACAATAGAGAGCTTGCATCAGTGGTCAATACTGAGTCTTTAATCAACAGTAAAATGTAGATAATTATTCTTATCAGCAATATACTAGTTATGGTCACAACTCAGTCTAAAATATTTTACTCAGTTGATTATCTCTAAGTAATACAAGTTAATAACACTCACCTCTAGCACCACAGGCAGTCTTGTGTCACTCCAGTGATACTTGTAAGCATTGAAACGCTGGAAAAACAATTCACATGTAACTTTTCTGCTTTCTCATGATTTCCCTTTTGTCTGCTAAAATGAATCGAGTACTGCTAGTGAATATTGAACATTCACATGTATGAACATGATTGTATGTATCATTTTTAGTACTAATTAACAAAAGAGCTACAGGTTAAGGCCAGAGATACATATCAGATCATAACGAATTACACAGTCAAGCTCACCTTAGCCTGTGAAGGATACAGGCTCCACCTGGAAGGAAAGGCTAAGAAGGATCTGACCGTGGCCACAAGGGCCAAGAAGGGACTGGGCCACAAGTGATGAGGTGGCTGAGGGGGCTGGGTTCTCCTCCTATTACTTCTCACTTTGTCATTGCTCCATCCTTGCCTAGAGAGTCTGAGGCTAAGTTCTCTCCCCATCTAGTAGTATTTTACAATCTGGAAGGTACTCCAGTAGTTTTATTAGGTCACTTGTAAGAAGTACTCCAGTACCTGCATTCTATTTTAACAACTTACCACTTCACTTCCTGCTTTGAAGTCTGAGAATTCTTTGCGAAATCGCTGCAAGAGGAATTATTATTATTGGACAATGGTGATAACAGGACAACAATTTCTGTGTGAAAGACAAACTTATTAACTGAAAATTCAACTGAACTTACTAGTGCTTCAGTTAATAGATCAGCTCTGTGTTCTGTAGAAAATGTCATGCTCTGGATTTTCTTACTTGCACCAGCTGGAAAATAAACAAATAATTTTAAAACATGAATTTACATGGACATTGAAGTTCTTTCACAGAGAATTCAAGATGTTACACCATAGACATTAAGGAGACTCAGTGCAAAGCTCCCTTTAAAGACATCAGTAAGTAAAAGAGCTGTTGGTTACTTAAGTATTTTTTAACAAGATGATTACCAGTTCTGCTTACTGGAAAATACATTCCCTACATAAATGATTTAGTTGTGCATTTTTATCACGAGCCCCTGGCTCAGGAGATTGGGCAACCACTCCCCACATTGACGACTTAAAATAAAGTTACCTTACCTTACCTTACCTTACCTTGAAAGAATACAAGCCTAGGAAATAGTGTCAAAATTTTACTATCGAATAGACATTTAACTCACTTTTCTTCATCGTAATGATAAGCTCATTAGCTGCTTTGGCACTGGGTGCAATTCTGCAGAAGTCATTGTAGGCCCACTAAAAATAACAAGAAGACAACTGATATCAAAACCTGAAGCTACAGTATGTCTAGTGTTGGTGGACTTGTGGATTCACATGTCACATGCTCAGGCCAAAAAGCCTACCGTACCAGCACTGAGCTCTATACCCAGCTTCTGCATCTGGAAACGATCTGACAGGTAGATCATTTGCTACCTGTGGTTCCCATGTACAGTATGGAGTGCTGAACCAAAAGAAACGCTCAATTTCTGCCGTTCACTTGAGTCCAGTCTATGATCCTCCCCAAAAGTGAGAGCAGTGGTAATCCAGCCTACATCAAAGGTAACTCTAGATTTTTTTTTGTCTGGTTGCTCAAACTCTATAAATCACCGAGAAAGATTTAAATTTTCTTATCACAAGCATGAGACAAAGAAAAAAATATGAATCTCCAGTATTACCAAGTATATACAACAAGTACATGTACATGTAATCATGAGACTGGTTGATACAATAAAATAACATGGTAGCAGAGCTTGCATGACTGTCCAGTCAGTCGAGACAAGTAGATTTTCCTGCCAGGCAAGTTACTTTTCATTTTCACTTGCCCAAGGGGCAGGAGCCCAGGCAAGTCATCTACCAACTAAATAAAAAAGTAAACTGAGATTTGTCCAAGGCAAGCAAAGTTTGAGTCTGAAGGTTAAACTGGAATTCAAGGTTTTTTCAAACCTCGGTAGCATCAGATGCCACACTAAACATTATCCTATTTTCAGTGTGAAGGTAGGGGGATAAGAGGTGGAGGGAAAGAGGAAGGAGAAGAAGATGGGGTATATGAATGTACACTGTACACTTCTAATTCTGTTCAATGTATATGCAACTTGACAATGTAGGGTGTAGGTTTCATTTTTGGTATCAAGAGAAAACTATTTTTGAACAAGTCACATCACATNCACGGACACCGTCGAGCAAACTGGCCAGCAAAGAGTCCCTTAAGGAAATGATCAGAAATACGTTCGTGAACATGCTGAGAGTTGCCCTAATACACAAGCAACAACTTTCCTTCTCTCCTTATTGATTTTTACCATTTATGTTTGTTTACATCATACAGTACCTCTCAGTTGACATGAATTTCTTTGTGGCTCCACGGATGAACTCCACAGCAAACATCTGAGGATTTTCGGTACTGCGAATAATGGCAAACACCTGTTGACAGAACATCAACAGTTGATTACTCTCAAGTGGTCAAAATCCATTTTCCTCTCACAATATCACCACATTGTTAAGCAGAGAGGTGTTGAGAATTCAGAGTAAACCTCACAGTAAGTACTGTACGTGTATCTGTGTGATCATATGTACAATAAAACTTACATTTTAGTTCTTTAGAGCGATTGTCAATTGAGTGTTGAAAGTAAACAGGCAATTACTTTGGTTAGAACTGGTTTTGGTTTTAAATACTATGGTTTGAGATTGGCTGAGTAGTTTAATTGGTAAGTAATTAGTTTGGTTTTGGTTTTAAGACACTCAATTGAAAACTGTACTAAAGAAGAACAAATCAAATATTAACATAATCAAGAGTAGGAGTAACCTTCAATGGACTAGCTTGCTGAAGTTACAATGTAAGTGCTGGCAAAAAGAGTCCCTTTGCTAAAAATTATTAAGTACCTTTAATTCATGCTGCTGCATTGCACAAATTACATTTATTAAGTTATATAAAATTTATGTAGATCTTACATCAGAAAGTGGATGACAGCTGACAATGATGTACGTTGCGGGATCTCTTTCTATGATACATGTCTCTGATAAACATAAGGTGCGGACTACAGGATCCTGTAAAAAACAAGTCAACATAAAAGTTCAAAGAGGAGTTACATGTACATGTACATTTGGCAGATTACATGTCCATTGTATAACTGGTATAAGTATCATACAGAGAAGTATTAATTGAAAGTGATTCTGACAACTAGCTCATTCTCGACAGCTGTCAGCAGGTCTTTTCTCCTGCAAGTAGGTTGATACACATAGATGAGGGATACTGGTGAGGGATATTCAATTCTAATTTGGATAATAACAATTTGCTGCCAACTTACATGATGTCTTGGTGATATTTTTTGGACTTTAAACTCAGCTAATGATGTGATATGTTCATCTTCACTGTAGGAGAGATATGTACATGTAATATAAATACAATGGTATGGAAGCAAGGGCAGGTAACGTAAAGATTTAGTTGGCAGACGACTTGCCTGATCCCTTGCCCATTGGGCAAGTGAGAATGAAAAGGTACATGCCCAGAAGGAGAATCTACTTATCCCGGATGACCAGACAGAGCTTTTTCTGAGTCCTGATAACAGCCAAGTGGCTCATACATGTACATACATGCAGAGTCAGAGCTTATCCTGGTTTCTGCAGCAGGAAGGAACTACATGAAGGAGTATTTTTACTCCCCCTGGATAGAATGCTTGTCCATCCCAGGATAGTACCTCCAGGTTTAAATTTGCTGGTAGCCATTTCTATACCTGGGATGATAGAACTACTAGCTGTGAGAGTAGAGTGTCTTTCCAGAGAATGCAAGTCAATGTCCCACTTATGTTCATGATAGAATGCAATTATTGTTTAATTAGTACTTCATATTTGGCAGGGTTATTTGACATTTTCATATTACTTCATATTTGACAGAATCGTGTGTGTTTTGGTGACTTTTTACCAATGACAACACTTTGTGATGCTTATCATAAGGTATTTAAATCTCTAGCATTCAATCCTGGACATATCTGCAATGTCCCTGCAATGTCCCTGGCCACAGCTTGAACCCAGACCACGTGATCCAGGGTCATGCCAACTACATGTAACCTTGAGCCCACCGCTCCTCCCACGCCAGTGCCAAGGGAGGGAATAGGAATTGTGTTTGTGACAACTGAGGTTCAAATTTACAAACCAACCCTCATTACATTGAATTTGACTAAATCCTCACCATATCAAGGTTTTTTTAGACGCACTTTCCCGTAGAATTAAACTGTGTTGAATGTTCAGCATGTCAGTTCACATGCACATGTACATGTACAGTAGTATGAAATTTTTGGGGTTGAATCATAGATGTTTCTCAAGATAGAAGAGGAAATATTGGGCATGTGAAACAAGACATCAGTTCACTAAGGCTCATAGCTAGCTGCAATCAACTTACCTAAATTTTCCAAATTTGTGTTTTAGAAACTGGTCATGTGTTATAGGTTTACTCCTTTGTCTGCAGGAGAAAGAGAACAGATACCAACAGTGAATCATTAATGTATTTCCAGTAGGTAATTTAATTACTTTTATTAGCCTAGCAAACAAGAACTCATCATGTGTGGTGCCTTTAAAGTTAGTGGGGTTAGGCAGCAATCAGACATGGGAAAGGAGGTATCCATGGTAACACTGCAAGTGGCCACCACCAAAGGCAGAGAAAGAAGTAAAAACTTGTTAATTCAGCAGGCAAAAATGGCCTTACTCCAAGGCCAGAAAGTAAGCAAATGCAAATTATAAACCAAAAGATGCTCCCAGCAGTGGTTCAAAGGCCTCCCTAAGCCACACAGAGGGGTGACCGCCGACCAGCGTTGTCTCAAAGATAACCTTGTCTTAATTATTTTCACTCACATTTAATTTAAATTGGAAAAGTAATGAGTATCAACTAACTTGATTGAGACACCAACATAAGCCATGGCATATTCTGACATTTTCTTCATTAGCTCATCTCTCTGTTCCAGTGCAAAGAGATGCTGAAAAAAAGATGTAACAGAATGATAAATTTTGTAAGTTATGTACAACCTTCTCTTGGACCACAGAATTTATAAGAAAACAAACAATCAACATAAAGCAAGTAAGTCTTCAAATACACTGCCACAGCCTCTTAACATAATTATTATGTATGTCTGTCTGCTTGAACTTTACAAAGGTAGTTATCTCACTCAAAATGGCAAGGCCACTAGCCAACATGTAAAACTACATTGTAGCAAGCAGGTTCTTTCTACCAAAGTCATTGGATAACTTAACTATGGTCATGTAAAACTATCATTAAACATCCCCTGCCCTGATTGATGTGCGACTTAAAAACTGCTGATGTGATGTACACTTACAAGTCTACTAAAACCGCCATAAACAACTGCAATTCCCCCTGGGTAGTCTGACACCTGAAAACAAATGAAGAACACAGTGTTTACATGTATAACACATGTACATGTAGATAAAAGTCCAGCAAGCTTCAGATACTGAAAAGTTCTGAAAATAGTAATCCCCTCAAAAACAACATCAAAATTTTGTGGCTGCTAATGCGTCACAAAAGTAGTGAACTCCTGACTATAGCAAGCTCACGAAAGAAGCAACCTTCTTGTCCTTGTCCTGTCAACAAAGCAGATGGAAGGTCTGACAAGAACTGCATGAAAAATGCCCTACAGAAAACTCATGCTGACCACTGATGACACAATCTACATAAAAATGTGATGCCTGGATGTATTTACATTCACCCACTGTACATACACTAATAGCGGTCGGGTATCATGATATCTTCAAAACAGGGTCATCATATCATTGATGTTTTAATACCCAAAGAATTTACTTCTGAGAATTCTATAATGCAGATAGCTTATGGTGCATTAAATCTTTATTCTCACTTTGTTCAACTATTCTGACACATCTTAATAATTAACTGTACATGTATCTACCGGTACAACTCCTTCCAGTTCCTTGTAATCATATGAGCAGAGCTTTTCTCTTGTTGTAGGATCAATTTGGTCCAAGGAGCAAGGAGTAACCTAAGAAAAGGTAGAAACAACAATGTTAAAGACCTAGGTTTGGCCAAGATGCATTTTGCACTGTGCAGCATTGGAAAACAATAGAGAGCTTGCATCAGTGGTCAATACTGAGTCTTTAATCAACAGTAAAATGTAGATAATTATTCTTATCAGCAATATACTAGTTATGGTCACAACTCAGTCTAAAATATTTTACTCAGTTGATTATCTCTAAGTAATACAAGTTAATAACACTCACCTCTAGCACCACAGGCAGTCTTGTGTCACTCCAGTGATACTTGTAAGCATTGAAACGCTGGAAAAACAATTCACATGTAACTTTTCTGCTTTCTCATGATTTCCCTTTTGTCTGCTAAAATGAATCGAGTACTGCTAGTGAATATTGAACATTCACATGTATGAACATGATTGTATGTATCATTTTTAGTACTAATTAACAAAAGAGCTACAGGTTAAGGCCAGAGATACATATCAGATCATAACGAATTACACAGTCAAGCGCACCATAGCCTGTGAAGGATACAGGCTCCACCTGGAAGGAAAGGCTAAGAAGGATCTGACCGTGGCCACAAGGGCCAAGAAGGGACTGGGCCACAAGTGATGAGGTGGCTGAGGGGGCTGGGTTCTCCTCCTATTACTTCTCACTTTGTCATTGCTCCATCCTTGCCTAGAGAGTCTGAGGCTAAGTTCTCTCCCCATCTAGTAGTATTTTACAATCTGGAAGGTACTCCAGTAGTTTTATTAGGTCACTTGTAAGAAGTACTCCAGTACCTGCATTCTATTTTAACAACTTACCACTTCACTTCCTGCTTTGAAGTCTGAGAATTCTTTGCGAAATCGCTGCAAGAGGAATTATTATTATTGGACAATGGTGATAACAGGACAACAATTTCTGTGTGAAAGACAAACTTATTAACTGAAAATTCAACTGAACTTACTAGTGCTTCAGTTAATAGATCAGCTCTGTGTTCTGTAGAAAATGTCATGCTCTGGATTTTCTTACTTGCACCAGCTGGAAAATAAACAAATAATTTTAAAACATGAATTTACATGGACATTGAAGTTCTTTCACAGAGAATTCAAGATGTTACACCATAGACATTAAGGAGACTCAGTGCAAAGCTCCCTTTAAAGACATCAGTAAGTAAAAGAGCTGTTGGTTACTTAAGTATTTTTTAACAAGATGATTACCAGTTCTGCTTACTGGAAAATACATTCCCTACATAAATGATTTAGTTGTGCATTTTTATCACGAGCCCCTGGCTCAGGAGATTGGGCAACCACTCCCCACATTGACGACTTAAAATAAAGTTACCTTACCTTACCTTACCTTACCTTGAAAGAATACAAGCCTAGGAAATAGTGTCAAAATTTTACTATCGAATAGACATTTAACTCACTTTTCTTCATCGTAATGATAAGCTCATTAGCTGCTTTGGCACTGGGTGCAATTCTGCAGAAGTCATTGTAGGCCCACTAAAAATAACAAGAAGACAACTGATATCAAAACCTGAAGCTACAGTATGTCTAGTGTTGGTGGACTTGTGGATTCACATGTCACATGCTCAGGCCAAAAAGCCTACCGTACCAGCACTGAGCTCTATACCCAGCTTCTGCATCTGGAAACGATCTGACAGGTAGATCATTTGCTACCTGTGGTTCCCATGTACAGTATGGAGTGCTGAACCAAAAGAAACGCTCAATTTCTGCCGTTCACTTGAGTCCAGTCTATGATCCTCCCCAAAAGTGAGAGCAGTGGTAATCCAGCCTACATCAAAGGTAACTCTAGATTTTTTTTTGTCTGGTTGCTCAAACTCTATAAATCACCGAGAAAGATTTAAATTTTCTTATCACAAGCATGAGACAAAGAAAAAAATATGAATCTCCAGTATTACCAAGTATATACAACAAGTACATGTACATGTAATCATGAGACTGGTTGATACAATAAAATAACATGGTAGCAGAGCTTGCATGACTGTCCAGTCAGTCGAGACAAGTAGATTTTCCTGCCAGGCAAGTTACTTTTCATTTTCACTTGCCCAAGGGGCAGGAGCCCAGGCAAGTCATCTACCAACTAAATAAAAAAGTAAACTGAGATTTGTCCAAGGCAAGCAAAGTTTGAGTCTGAAGGTTAAACTGGAATTCAAGGTTTTTTCAAACCTCGGTAGCATCAGATGCCACACTAAACATTATCCTATTTTCAGTGTGAAGGTAGGGGGATAAGAGGTGGAGGGAAAGAGGAAGGAGAAGAAGATGGGGTATATGAATGTACACTGTACACTTCTAATTCTGTTCAATGTATATGCAACTTGACAATGTAGGGTGTAGGTTTCATTTTTGGTATCAAGAGAAAACTATTTTTGAACAAGTCACATCACATGGATAATCCCTCTAGCCTACAGGTAATATTTCTTTTGCATAGCACATGACTGTTTTTGCCCAAACATGCACTACCCAGAACCTCATCTTGTTTTCCACTGAATAAGTCAGAGAGAACTAGAGACAGCTAATGTGGAGCAAAGTTGAACAACTCAGTATTGACAACTGTTGTTTCCTATGCAATTTCCATTCACCATTTCATTTTCCAAATGCTCATGTAAGTAATTTGAGTAATGATGTATTATTAGCTAATGCACAGTCACATAAAAAGTGCAACAATAAAAGAATTGAAAGTTTCTGTCTAGAAGAGGACAAATACTTCCATTTATTTAACATTTTGCATCTGATAATTCAAAGTATTAAGCTCTGATAGGTCGATATAGTGACGTTCTAGGTATGCATTCTATTAAAGTTGAATAAAGTGTGGATAAATTAGACCTCTTGATGAAACTCTAAGGACCCATAAAAACTTAACACAAGCCAGGTTTTCAGTTTGCATTTCGCGTTAAAAGTTGTAGTGAACAGACAAAGAAATCATTTGGTGGAAGCTATAATCAGAAAGGCAAGACTCACTTTGACAAATCTGAGGTGGAATACCTCGTACGGAAAAATGACATCATAGGATCGATTTCATGAATGCACACAAGTCCATGACAATCACATGTCCCAGCTTATACTACTGTACATTCTCACCTGATTTGTGACCTCCAGATTCGAAGGGTTGTAGGTAGTTATTCCTTTCGTCCCGATGGAAAAGATCCTCTTGTACCTGCAAGGGGCAGCGAGAAAATCAGCTGATAAAAGAGCAATCAAGTTGAAGACTACGACGACACAACTTAAACATGTGATGGCAGCTGCGTCGATTTTACTTGCAAGACTTCACTCACTTGCCGCGCCACGAATGCTTTGTGGTGAAATAGCAGGCCACGTCCTCGTTGCCCCAGACTGTAGCCATCTTGCGGTACAATGTCACTTAAATCTGAACAAATCTTTGACAGGAAGGAACGTTTAAACGTCCTTCCTCAAGTATCAGGGGGAAAGGTCGGCCATCTTGGCCTTGGTTGTAACTACTGCGCAAGCTTTGGGTTAGTAGGACCCAGTCTTAATGTAGTTTTACTTGCCGCGGACAAGAGCCATACTCGTCACCAGAGCTCTTGTGTTTGAATACCGTAGGTTACGTTACTTGCAAAATTGTTGCTGTAGTGAAGTGTAGTGTGTCATCCAGTTGGCCTCGTAATAATAGATGTATGTATATATGTATGCATGTATGTGACCAAGTCANCAGGATAGTACCTCCAGGTTTAAATTTGCTGGTAGCCATTTCTATACCTGGGATGATAGAACTACTAGCTGTGAGAGTAGAGTGTCTTTCCAGAGAATGCAAGTCAATGTCCCACTTATGTTCATGATAGAATGCAATTATTGTTTAATTAGTACTTCATATTTGGCAGGGTTATTTGACATTTTCATATTACTTCATATTTGACAGAATCGTGTGTGTTTTGGTGACTTTTTACCAATGACAACACTTTGTGATGCTTATCATAAGGTATTTAAATCTCTAGCATTCAATCCTGGACATATCTGCAATGTCCCTGCAATGTCCCTGGCCACAGCTTGAACCCAGACCACGTGATCCAGGGTCATGCCAACTACATGTAACCTTGAGCCCACCGCTCCTCCCACGCCAGTGCCAAGGGAGGGAATAGGAATTGTGTTTGTGACAACTGAGGTTCAAATTTACAAACCAACCCTCATTACATTGAATTTGACTAAATCCTCACCATATCAAGGTTTTTTTAGACGCACTTTCCCGTAGAATTAAACTGTGTTGAATGTTCAGCATGTCAGTTCACATGCACATGTACATGTACAGTAGTATGAAATTTTTGGGGTTGAATCATAGATGTTTCTCAAGATAGAAGAGGAAATATTGGGCATGTGAAACAAGACATCAGTTCACTAAGGCTCATAGCTAGCTGCAATCAACTTACCTAAATTTTCCAAATTTGTGTTTTAGAAACTGGTCATGTGTTATAGGTTTACTCCTTTGTCTGCAGGAGAAAGAGAACAGATACCAACAGTGAATCATTAATGTATTTCCAGTAGGTAATTTAATTACTTTTATTAGCCTAGCAAACAAGAACTCATCATGTGTGGTGCCTTTAAAGTTAGTGGGGTTAGGCAGCAATCAGACATGGGAAAGGAGGTATCCATGGTAACACTGCAAGTGGCCACCACCAAAGGCAGAGAAAGAAGTAAAAACTTGTTAATTCAGCAGGCAAAAATGGCCTTACTCCAAGGCCAGAAAGTAAGCAAATGCAAATTATAAACCAAAAGATGCTCCCAGCAGTGGTTCAAAGGCCTCCCTAAGCCACACAGAGGGGTGACCGCCGACCAGCGTTGTCTCAAAGATAACCTTGTCTTAATTATTTTCACTCACATTTAATTTAAATTGGAAAAGTAATGAGTATCAACTAACTTGATTGAGACACCAACATAAGCCATGGCATATTCTGACATTTTCTTCATTAGCTCATCTCTCTGTTCCAGTGCAAAGAGATGCTGAAAAAAAGATGTAACAGAATGATAAATTTTGTAAGTTATGTACAACCTTCTCTTGGACCACAGAATTTATAAGAAAACAAACAATCAACATAAAGCAAGTAAGTCTTCAAATACACTGCCACAGCCTCTTAACATAATTATTATGTATGTCTGTCTGCTTGAACTTTACAAAGGTAGTTATCTCACTCAAAATGGCAAGGCCACTAGCCAACATGTAAAACTACATTGTAGCAAGCAGGTTCTTTCTACCAAAGTCATTGGATAACTTAACTATGGTCATGTAAAACTATCATTAAACATCCCCTGCCCTGATTGATGTGCGACTTAAAAACTGCTGATGTGATGTACACTTACAAGTCTACTAAAACCGCCATAAACAACTGCAATTCCCCCTGGGTAGTCTGACACCTGAAAACAAATGAAGAACACAGTGTTTACATGTATAACACATGTACATGTAGATAAAAGTCCAGCAAGCTTCAGATACTGAAAAGTTCTGAAAATAGTAATCCCCTCAAAAACAACATCAAAATTTTGTGGCTGCTAATGCGTCACAAAAGTAGTGAACTCCTGACTATAGCAAGCTCACGAAAGAAGCAACCTTCTTGTCCTTGTCCTGTCAACAAAGCAGATGGAAGGTCTGACAAGAACTGCATGAAAAATGCCCTACAGAAAACTCATGCTGACCACTGATGACACAATCTACATAAAAATGTGATGCCTGGATGTATTTACATTCACCCACTGTACATACACTAATAGCGGTCGGGTATCATGATATCTTCAAAACAGGGTCATCATATCATTGATGTTTTAATACCCAAAGAATTTACTTCTGAGAATTCTATAATGCAGATAGCTTATGGTGCATTAAATCTTTATTCTCACTTTGTTCAACTATTCTGACACATCTTAATAATTAACTGTACATGTATCTACCGGTACAACTCCTTCCAGTTCCTTGTAATCATATGAGCAGAGCTTTTCTCTTGTTGTAGGATCAATTTGGTCCAAGGAGCAAGGAGTAACCTAAGAAAAGGTAGAAACAACAATGTTAAAGACCTAGGTTTGGCCAAGATGCATTTTGCACTGTGCAGCATTGGAAAACAATAGAGAGCTTGCATCAGTGGTCAATACTGAGTCTTTAATCAACAGTAAAATGTAGATAATTATTCTTATCAGCAATATACTAGTTATGGTCACAACTCAGTCTAAAATATTTTACTCAGTTGATTATCTCTAAGTAATACAAGTTAATAACACTCACCTCTAGCACCACAGGCAGTCTTGTGTCACTCCAGTGATACTTGTAAGCATTGAAACGCTGGAAAAACAATTCACATGTAACTTTTCTGCTTTCTCATGATTTCCCTTTTGTCTGCTAAAATGAATCGAGTACTGCTAGTGAATATTGAACATTCACATGTATGAACATGATTGTATGTATCATTTTTAGTACTAATTAACAAAAGAGCTACAGGTTAAGGCCAGAGATACATATCAGATCATAACGAATTACACAGTCAAGCGCACCATAGCCTGTGAAGGATACAGGCTCCACCTGGAAGGAAAGGCTAAGAAGGATCTGACCGTGGCCACAAGGGCCAAGAAGGGACTGGGCCACAAGTGATGAGGTGGCTGAGGGGGCTGGGTTCTCCTCCTATTACTTCTCACTTTGTCATTGCTCCATCCTTGCCTAGAGAGTCTGAGGCTAAGTTCTCTCCCCATCTAGTAGTATTTTACAATCTGGAAGGTACTCCAGTAGTTTTATTAGGTCACTTGTAAGAAGTACTCCAGTACCTGCATTCTATTTTAACAACTTACCACTTCACTTCCTGCTTTGAAGTCTGAGAATTCTTTGCGAAATCGCTGCAAGAGGAATTATTATTATTGGACAATGGTGATAACAGGACAACAATTTCTGTGTGAAAGACAAACTTATTAACTGAAAATTCAACTGAACTTACTAGTGCTTCAGTTAATAGATCAGCTCTGTGTTCTGTAGAAAATGTCATGCTCTGGATTTTCTTACTTGCACCAGCTGGAAAATAAACAAATAATTTTAAAACATGAATTTACATGGACATTGAAGTTCTTTCACAGAGAATTCAAGATGTTACACCATAGACATTAAGGAGACTCAGTGCAAAGCTCCCTTTAAAGACATCAGTAAGTAAAAGAGCTGTTGGTTACTTAAGTATTTTTTAACAAGATGATTACCAGTTCTGCTTACTGGAAAATACATTCCCTACATAAATGATTTAGTTGTGCATTTTTATCACGAGCCCCTGGCTCAGGAGATTGGGCAACCACTCCCCACATTGACGACTTAAAATAAAGTTACCTTACCTTACCTTACCTTACCTTGAAAGAATACAAGCCTAGGAAATAGTGTCAAAATTTTACTATCGAATAGACATTTAACTCACTTTTCTTCATCGTAATGATAAGCTCATTAGCTGCTTTGGCACTGGGTGCAATTCTGCAGAAGTCATTGTAGGCCCACTAAAAATAACAAGAAGACAACTGATATCAAAACCTGAAGCTACAGTATGTCTAGTGTTGGTGGACTTGTGGATTCACATGTCACATGCTCAGGCCAAAAAGCCTACCGTACCAGCACTGAGCTCTATACCCAGCTTCTGCATCTGGAAACGATCTGACAGGTAGATCATTTGCTACCTGTGGTTCCCATGTACAGTATGGAGTGCTGAACCAAAAGAAACGCTCAATTTCTGCCGTTCACTTGAGTCCAGTCTATGATCCTCCCCAAAAGTGAGAGCAGTGGTAATCCAGCCTACATCAAAGGTAACTCTAGATTTTTTTTTGTCTGGTTGCTCAAACTCTATAAATCACCGAGAAAGATTTAAATTTTCTTATCACAAGCATGAGACAAAGAAAAAAATATGAATCTCCAGTATTACCAAGTATATACAACAAGTACATGTACATGTAATCATGAGACTGGTTGATACAATAAAATAACATGGTAGCAGAGCTTGCATGACTGTCCAGTCAGTCGAGACAAGTAGATTTTCCTGCCAGGCAAGTTACTTTTCATTTTCACTTGCCCAAGGGGCAGGAGCCCAGGCAAGTCATCTACCAACTAAATAAAAAAGTAAACTGAGATTTGTCCAAGGCAAGCAAAGTTTGAGTCTGAAGGTTAAACTGGAATTCAAGGTTTTTTCAAACCTCGGTAGCATCAGATGCCACACTAAACATTATCCTATTTTCAGTGTGAAGGTAGGGGGATAAGAGGTGGAGGGAAAGAGGAAGGAGAAGAAGATGGGGTATATGAATGTACACTGTACACTTCTAATTCTGTTCAATGTATATGCAACTTGACAATGTAGGGTGTAGGTTTCATTTTTGGTATCAAGAGAAAACTATTTTTGAACAAGTCACATCACATGGATAATCCCTCTAGCCTACAGGTAATATTTCTTTTGCATAGCACATGACTGTTTTTGCCCAAACATGCACTACCCAGAACCTCATCTTGTTTTCCACTGAATAAGTCAGAGAGAACTAGAGACAGCTAATGTGGAGCAAAGTTGAACAACTCAGTATTGACAACTGTTGTTTCCTATGCAATTTCCATTCACCATTTCATTTTCCAAATGCTCATGTAAGTAATTTGAGTAATGATGTATTATTAGCTAATGCACAGTCACATAAAAAGTGCAACAATAAAAGAATTGAAAGTTTCTGTCTAGAAGAGGACAAATACTTCCATTTATTTAACATTTTGCATCTGATAATTCAAAGTATTAAGCTCTGATAGGTCGATATAGTGACGTTCTAGGTATGCATTCTATTAAAGTTGAATAAAGTGTGGATAAATTAGACCTCTTGATGAAACTCTAAGGACCCATAAAAACTTAACACAAGCCAGGTTTTCAGTTTGCATTTCGCGTTAAAAGTTGTAGTGAACAGACAAAGAAATCATTTGGTGGAAGCTATAATCAGAAAGGCAAGACTCACTTTGACAAATCTGAGGTGGAATACCTCGTACGGAAAAATGACATCATAGGATCGATTTCATGAATGCACACAAGTCCATGACAATCACATGTCCCAGCTTATACTACTGTACATTCTCACCTGATTTGTGACCTCCAGATTCGAAGGGTTGTAGGTAGTTATTCCTTTCGTCCCGATGGAAAAGATCCTCTTGTACCTGCAAGGGGCAGCGAGAAAATCAGCTGATAAAAGAGCAATCAAGTTGAAGACTACGACGACACAACTTAAACATGTGATGGCAGCTGCGTCGATTTTACTTGCAAGACTTCACTCACTTGCCGCGCCACGAATGCTTTGTGGTGAAATAGCAGGCCACGTCCTCGTTGCCCCAGACTGTAGCCATCTTGCGGTACAATGTCACTTAAATCTGAACAAATCTTTGACAGGAAGGAACGTTTAAACGTCCTTCCTCAAGTATCAGGGGGAAAGGTCGGCCATCTTGGCCTTGGTTGTAACTACTGCGCAAGCTTTGGGTTAGTAGGACCCAGTCTTAATGTAGTTTTACTTGCCGCGGACAAGAGCCATACTCGTCACCAGAGCTCTTGTGTTTGAATACCGTAGGTTACGTTACTTGCAAAATTGTTGCTGTAGTGAAGTGTAGTGTGTCATCCAGTTGGCCTCGTAATAATAGATGTATGTATATATGTATGCATGTATGTGACCAAGTCAATGTTGTGTTCTCGGGCAAGACCAACCTGCGAGCAGCACCTTTGAGTAACGCGCGCGAGCGGCGAAGAGCAAAGCGATTCGGCGGGAAGGAGTCTGGTTAAGAGGTGCCACTTCGCGCCGCGCGCTCTTGCTCCAACGTGAGCCTGCTCGCAGGCTAGAGCAAAGCTTCACGCAATCTTTCCTCCCCCATGGGATTTGTGGGAGAGGAAAGATTGCGTGACGATACCAAAGAGTGTTCCGAAAGTAGAATATTTCTCTCAGGGAAACCTGACAGAATCCTGGGGGAAGGGAAATCCTGCGACAGGTTAGCATCCCCTTAAGGGAAGTTGCAATACTCCTGTAGTTGCTTTATGCTACTTCTGCGCTCCATCGGTGGGGGTCAATGTCTGGATCTCAAACGTAACTTTATCTTCATTGGTCTATGTTGCAAATTGCTGGTAAAAAATATCGGCCATTACGGAAGGGTTATTGGCAAAAGGCGCTTAGACCTGCTCCAAGATATAATCGTTCATCCAGGAAGCACGCTGTCTTCGACAGTTGTATGTTTGACGAGCGAGTGAGGTGTGCCCATATTTAACCTTTTGAGCCCCAATTACGCATATAATTACGCACGTAATTAATGGTCGTGCTCTTTGTATCACTTGTGACGTCATCAATTTAAATGTCATCAGATATTCTTGATAAGCAGATAGTAGAACTATGCTAGGTCTTTCCGTACAATGGTCAGGTTTAGATATCGATGATATTCCAACGTCACAAATCGAAAAACGTTATCAGTTTTAGTGCAAAAACGGTGGCAAAATGGTCCACGATGCCTATGATTGATCAAGGTCCATTTCTAGGCTTCGCCCGTAATTAACATCCAACTTTTCACGGCAGCCAGAAAGAACATGCAACGCAAAATTTAGCCAGAGTAAAAGGGCCGAGAAAAAAAGAAAGGAAAGGGGCAGCAAACAAAACTGAGAACGGCTAATGGCAAAAGAAAAAGAAAGAAAAAGAAAAGACGTCCAAATTTTGGCTTATGCGCATGCACGGAATTGAAATATCGCTCAATTTTGTACGTAATCCTTGAAAAATCTCTCCTTTTGGTAAAAAAAAAAGCTTTCTTAGCAAAACTTAGGCTTATTTAGCGTCATGGCTGCCAAAAAAATCTGACTAAACGGTTAAAAACGGTATTTTTTGGCGAAAATTTGGTATTCAAAGGGTTGAGATGTGACAATCCACAACCACCACCAACAGCAAAATACTTAATTTCATCGACCGGTCATTAATGTGACCGTTGACCGATATGTCGTTCTTTAGTTTTTAGCAAGAAAACAATTTCAAAGAACTTATTGATTCCAAATTAAATTTACAGATAAAATGACAGCTTATGCACGCGTTTGACTTGCCCTTTGATCTCGTTTAGTGTCAACGTCGACCAAGGCAACCTTGAGTCAGGGCCCTCAGAGAGGATGAAAACATTTGCGTTTGGAGGCTTGTAGCAATAAACTTTGTCCTCCTCGACAAAGAATCAACCCAAGTAGTAACAAAAAGCAGAGGTCGCAAAAATATCAAAATTATCAACTAAAACAAGTCAGGAGATTTTATGTTATGTTACGTTAAGAGTTGAGTAAAGACTTCAAAACACATGAACTCCACTTCAACAAGAGTTTATTTGCTCTTCAATAACTTACATGAATTTCATCTAAGACAGGTTTGTTCTAAAGAACATAAGTAGTAGCTACACAAATCGACGCAACTACCTCTTAGACAGCATTTTAAATAGGTCATTCTCCTTACATATCTTCATACATTCTTCCCATGACAGTTCTAGGAATTTAGATGTACATCAAGGTTGTACTTGTACTTGACGAATTTCCGTATTCTCAACCCTCGTTTGCTTGACGATGTATCGATACGGTAAGGAGAAATTATATTTCTTTAACTCTTTGGAGTTGCACGATAAATCAAACTTTAATAGACTCGTTTGACAAGACAAAGAACGCCTGTACTTCGAGATTCACGGAAAAAACTGAAGAGCCAAAACAGTTGCTATGCCCTGACAGATGTGGGGAGGGGAGGCTCTGTTATTTTCCACCGTACCCTGTACCCTTGGTTCGGCTCGTAGCAGTAGCCCTTTCTTATATGCATTGTAATTAAATCAAATGTGGATGGGACGCAATTTCGGACACACAAACTTCAAAATTGACCAAACTAGCCTCGCATTCACTTTGGATTTAACTATGATGCAAATAGGCCACGTTCGATATATCAATACCGTTATTCTAACATGGCTCCGAGGCTTTTGGGTCAAAACTGCAAATTTGTAATTTTTTTTTTTTTTTTTTTGTCGCTCAATTTCCAAAAGAGACTTGCATACAAAGAAAACAACACCAAATATAGAAGTTTGTCCTGAAAGCCTCGGAGCCATGTTACTATATTGATATATCGAACGTGGCCAGTAGAGCATTTTACAGTTGTTAGCTCAGTGACCTGGCCTTTGAATGACAGCGAGGCTAAAGGGTGACTTGTTTTGATACAGACCTCACTGTTTTTGTTATGTAAATCAAGTTGTTCTTATGCTAACTAGTTTGGCATTTAAATAAGAAAAGCAGAGAGGTCTGTATCAAAGAAAGGTCACCTCCAGCCTCGCTTGCATTCATAGGCCAGGTGACTAAGCACATAACTGTAAAATGGCCTATTAGAAAAATAGTCCCGAAGTGACCGAAGCCAGCCTCATTCCCATTGTTTCTCTTCCTTCCGTACCCGCGAAAGCGGAACGAGTAGAGACCCTGGGAACAAACGTTTACCGAAGCTGGAATAAAAGAAAACAAATAAACCGCTACTATTTTCCGTTAAACTTCCTAATAAATAAGAACACTGCACTGACTCGAGACACAAACGTAATCGTCGACTTCAAAAGCACAGAATCAAGTCACCAGTTCTAATAAATTTACCCTTTTCGAACTTCTGAAACGATTAGTGAAATTTTCTTCAAAATAATATACTCAATAATTTTTACAAGTAAACGCTGAGGAACAAACTAACTTTCAGCAGAACTACTAACGGAAAAATTTCCAAAAAAAATTATAATTATTAATTAGAGGGGAATCCGAGACGATAACTCAAAGTAACTTGAACAATTAAAACATATACACACAAAACATCTGGATATCTGTTGAAATGAGGCATTCATCAAGTTCTGTGTTAATAGTTCGTGCTCGGTTAAATTCATACTTTAAACCTTGAATTTGCAATTAATCTAACAATAACATATTCTAAACCCGTCGCTACAACAATGCGACAAATTACTGTATAATATTTACCTAAATACTTTGAAATAATTGTTCTAGGCCGAGCAATGTAACGTGCTCGAATAATGCTTATCAATAAGCAAGACGTGTTCTTTCACAAAATAACTTTACAAATTGTCTTATGAATTAAACTCCTTATGAAGATATCAACGAAATGAACATAAATATTGAAAACCAAATTGCGAGGCACTCCGCCGAATATCTTCGGAAAATACCGAACATAACCGAATACCTTAACGAAGGGAACTCGAACGAAAAAGACCCAATTAAGTGTAGGCAATTCACTATTTTTATACACTTTCTTAATACTTAATAACTATTTTTTGTTTTAGTTTAACTTAAATAAAACTATACGGACAAGCAATGCGAATTTGTAGTTCGCTGCTAAATTAAGTTATTCAGATTTAAAACGGCGCCAATTTTTCAAAAGCAGACGCCTTTTTAAGGTGGGCACCTTCTCTAAGCTGGAAACTTCACTATGGCCGCAGAAACTTCTCTTTTCTACACAGTTGGCGCTGGCAAATTTGGAAGAAAAACATGTACCTTCAAAAACGCGCTGACAAAATTTAACTAGCCGTTTCCACAACGTCGCTGCTTAAATTTAGTCTACATTAAAAATGAAAAACAAAACGTTTTGTACTGTAAGAAATGTCAACAAACTTATCACTAAACCAGTTTCAAACATGGCCACATCACACTTTAGTGTCTGTCTTCGTCAGTGAAAGTCAACACTGTTTCTGAACTTGGCGTCAGCTGCGAGGTATCGATCACGTGATCATTCTGAGTCGCGCCGTAATTCTTCCGCCTGGTGAGCTGGGGCGGAGAGATGTCATCACTTCCGGTCGCCTTCATTTCGCGCGTCGTTTGGAGAACTGGCGGGAGGTAAGCCTCCTGTAACGCAACGACACACATGCTGGATTAACATTAATCACACAGTACTCGATTTGCTCCCCTCTCTCCCAAAAAAGAGAAACAAACTGGCTGCGTGACAAGCGAGACAACAGGTCTATACACTCGGAAAAGACCGTGCGTTCACGAAAAGTTCAACGTTTTAATTTCTCGACACATTTTGGGGGCATTTCGTAAGCTGTCATGTTATCCATATAAGCGAAAAGGAAAAGATTGCACGGGCTCATCTGACAGAAGGGCTCTAATAAGGGCTCCTGTAATGACTTCAACGAAACCTGCGAACAGGCGAACCAAGAATGCTTGATGGCAGGTTAAATTCAACGACTGAGCTCCTTCAGTAGTGTAACAAAATTGCTTGAGACTTTATCTGGGAAGTTGTTAAGATCATTCGAAGATTACCATCCAAACTTACTGGAATGTAGATATCAGCGCCATTCAGTTCTGCATCTGTTATAAGTTGTTGCTAACAGAAACAAAAAGAAAACAATTTCGAGAGTCAACATTGAGCTAATAAATATTATAGGCAGCAGTCAATATATCAATCAAGTAAGCATTCAAACAATTACACAGTCAACCAATCAATCAATCCATCAATCAGTCAATTAATCTGTCAGTCAATCCAATCAATCATTCAATCGGTCAATCAATCAATCAGTCAATCGGTCAGTCAGTCATCCTCGAGCCTGAATTCCACTTTTTGGTTTAAGATTTTTGTCACGTGATTAAGAATGTCCTACTGCCATAAGCTATGTGTAAAATATGTTAAAATATCATTTTACAAAGGATTTATACTGGAAATTAGGGAAGAGAAATATCTACGCAGGATCAGCCTCGCTAACACTACACAATATTTTAAAAAAATGCGAACTGACTTTGATTGAATATGAAAAGTTCGCGTTTTCCAAGTTTCGCTAAGATCTCTGAAATTTTACCAAAACCTTGCTAAATCATGAAATACGTTTTCTGCAGTCACAAGACGCTCACAAACGTTTCAATTTGCCTCTCATATCGTAAAACTGTGGAACGTTTCTTGTTATTATTATATTTAATATTTACCTTGTGAGGTCCAAATCGTTTGAACATTCCGAAACATACTCGAGCTACGAAGAAGAAAATTGTGATGAACACCACGACCAAAGTAAATACTGTTTGAGGATCATCGATACCTGTGGGAAAAAACGAACCAAATGTTAAAAAAAACCGAAGTGGAGGCGTTAGACAATATCGGCTTTAGGAGGACGGAAGTGTAATTTGTATAAATTTACCAGCATTCTATCACGAATGCCGTTCTCTGATTGGCTATGCTACTCGCCATCTATTCTGTTGTAGACAGTGAGTAGCGTAGTAGTGTGCGCTTGTTAACAAAATGGCGGCCGCTTCTTTGCGTTTTTGAAGTGTTGTGGCCCTGTCTTGTTGTAAAGGTTTGAACGACTGGTAGAGTTATGCAAAAACAATAAGATTATTTGCTCTCGATTTCTATGCGTCCTCGTCAACTATCACGCGATTAGAAACCTAAAGCTCATTATAGTAGTTTTACAATCGCAATTTCCACAATAAAATTCAATTATGATGTAATGTATTACTGTATTTCTCGCGCCAACGGTAATCAGATGAATAAAGTTTTTAATAATTATGGTTATTATTCATATTGAAATCTTAAAATCTGTTCTGAGACGTCCATATATTTTGTCGCCTGTCGATCACGGTCTTTCATAGCTACGAATTTTTATCGTGTTCAACGCATTTCCGCGAAATACATAAAGCAGTACACAAAGTGAGTGTGGAAATGCGAAAAAAAAATACGCAAGTAGCCCAGGAAGTATTTAAAGGAATATCTTAAGGCAAAAATAAGTGCAAAACCAAGGAAAAGACAAGCGTTTTAGGGAACATTGAAGTCTCCATTCAGCTTTCAAACTTAACTGGTTTTACGTTCATATTTTCTTTGCAAAAATATATGTTATTTATCGGATTCGATTTTTCAAGGTTTTCGCAAAAATAAAGGGCGAGGTAAAAAATATCTTCACCAAGCGGATATGCATGTTAAGTTTTAAAATGGACAAATGTTATCTAAAGGATGTAATCGCTGTTGAAGAAGCGGGGCCAGTATGGAGTAAGATTTAACGTACTCTTTGGAAAGTATTACAATTGGAATTGAAGTTTTACTCGGCAGTAATTTGTTCTCAATTTGGGAAGCACTGACTGGTAGCGAGATTCTCCCATGCAAAATTAAAGAAAGTATAAGAGAAATGATCAGGAGAGTTCAAATGTAGATCTTGGCGGCAGAAAGGTAAATTCATGAACGAAAAAAAGAACACACAGTTAATCAAATCGTTTGAAGAAGCTCCATGAAGTTTCTCTGTTATGATGAATGGTCACTGTCAAAATAGTAAGCAAATCGGGAGGGAAAATAAATCACTTTAGGTTTCATCTCGAAACATTTTGAGAGCCGAATAAAATGCAAAGATTAGCCTTTGGTCGCTTTACACGAAGGTGTTTAAATTTAAAAAATACGTGCACGTTAACGGAGCGAAAGTGATATCTGCAAGATACTCTGAGCGTTTTATTAAATTGATATTGTTGAAACGTTCGGCCAAACACCGGTATTCCGATTAGTAATTATAAACATAATTTGATTTGATTCGAATATCTTTATAAGAACTTTGAAGTAAATTATAAGGAAAAGTCGCGGCCTCGACAGCTTAGTTAAGCGAATATTCTGACAATGGCCACCCATACAGTTTGCCGTTCCAGTACCTTTTCAGTAACAACATATTATATTATAGAAATCAAATTTCATTCCAGTTGTGGATGTAATTGCTTTAGAAAGTTTCGATGGAAATGTGCTTCCAAAACGTCACAGCAAGAAATCGTTTAAACGGCGTTTGAAATTCAAAACGCCGTTTTCAAGACCACCGTTTCACCGCAACATACGCGTATTCGAAATTAACAAGCAGATTTTAAACCGCCATCGAAGTAAAGCTAAAAAAAAATACTTCCATGGCATTCATTACAATATTTGTGTGCACGAAATTTCAACCAAGCTAAATCACTATTTCGACAATTGTTACTTACTTCCAAAGTTCTCCGAAAGTAGGCGAAATTCGCCCATATGCCAAGCCATAAAATACGATATTCCCACCCGAGAACTGCTCAATTTCGATCACAATCCGCAAAGATTTGGAACATTCAGCATGTTCGCAGAACACCACACTGCCAACTCACCACTTTCAAAACAATTGCTGCGTGTTACGAGTATCGCGGGCGGCCCGGAATTGCAAAACCGGGTACGATAAAGGAAAGAAAGTTTTACGAAGCAGCGAAGGTTTCCAAGGAAACCGTACCGTACCCTTCGGGGGTGGTGTGGGGCGCTTGCCACGCGAAATCTCGAGCGTCTGTTTCCAGGGAAACAAGAACTTGCTGAACAGTTTTATAAGACAGGGAGAGTTTCTATGGAAACTTGTGCATTAGTGGCTGGAATGAGGTTTTAACACGGCGGACTTTACATGTAGTTCTTTCAAAAGATAATGACTAAAACATTTCATTTTCGAGAAGAGCGAGATCTGTATTCTCCATAACGGATTTCACAAGCTAGTTTTATAAAGTTAATGTTATGAAGGCTCTTTTTCAACTTCGTCAGGTCAATAGAACCATTTTGAATGAACGCATTCACTAAAGTAAATAATCTTTTCCGAGTGTTTTTGAAGAAGTTGTTAACTTTAGGGAGAGCAGTTTTCGTTTCATTTAACGTTTCATTCAAAAGAAAATCAGCTGGGATCATTTCGCGATGGATCATCTCAACGTATGAACGGCAAAATTGATCAAATGACTGTCAGCTGAGAAATAACGCGTTTTAAAACTGATTGCTGAGATCTCAGATGAATAAAATTTCTAGGTTACAGATACCTAAGAAATCGCCGAAAATTTAACTGATAACTAAGACTCGAACATCCCCAGGCAGACCAACCATTGATTAATATTACAGGGGTTCTTATATAAGAAATAACTGATGAGTTTTTCTTTTGGTTAAAAGAAATCCGCCGTTATAACTTAAAGGTCGGCACGCACTATAGGACATGTTGAGAGGATGTGAAGCGGGGACGAACCCCTTCGTTTGTAGGCGTAGGGTACGTGTTGCAGTGACAGTATGCAGGCTGGTGCGCAAGAAGCCGATTGAGGCATTAATATGTGTTGTAAATAGGGGAAGTTTGCAAGAGCAGTGCGCATGATGCGACATTGAAAATAAAGGTTATTTTTGCCCTTACTTCATGACGCAAGAATTCAAAATAGCTGAATCTCATGCCGCATGTTGCGGGAACAAAACTGATTTTGTCCCAGCAACAGAGCTTTTTCGCAAAAACGGGCCTGTCACACGTACCCCCAAAACTGTCGCTGCAACATGTCCCCGATCCATGTCCCCGATTCATGTCCCCGATTCATGTCCCCTAGTGTGTGCCGAGGTGGTCTGAAGGGGGAAACCTACTGGTGTTCTGAAGTGCTTCAAATTGACTCTAATTGCTTACCTAGCCTGATAACAGAGTAGAATAACAGTGATATTAGGAGATAGAACGTGGAAATCATGGCAAACGTCACTGCCGTGTAATGAACGGTACTATCTACGTATTTGTAGGCTGGAGCGCGATGGTTGAAGTAAAGATTGTATCGATCAACCAAGTGCTTGAACGCCAAATACAGCAAACCTGAGGACAAACAACAGGAAGAATTCTAACATGGAAATTGCAATTCTCCTTACACAGTTGTATACATTTCTTATAATGTTAGCTCCAAGAAAATAGTGTTACATTAAAACAATATCTTCAAGTGATGATTATCTTTATTCTCATCATCAGTATGCTTGACAATGTATTCCTTTTGGAAGGAGAAACTAGATTTTGAGCGCTCTTGACCACCGGAGGAAAGTCTGGATTTCCGCTTTTTTAATTCAGTTGCTAAGCAACACTGTTGCTCTACATCATGTTACGTCACGATGACGTATCTCCTTTCTTTCGGAGTATTCACGAGTGACTAGAATAGAAGTTTGACTGCTCTTGCGAAGTCCTGAGGAACCAAAAAATCATTTTACGGCTGAATTCCAACTCATAGTTTCAAGGTATAAGAATCGCAATCGGGAAAACCAGCAGATGCCAATATAAAATGCAGTATTCTGTTTTTACGGATTTCAAATTTCTTTATATTGGTAGAATTGAGGGACGATGGCGTGACTATGTATAATCGCGTGACTTACCGAATGGCGTGACAAGAGGGCACGTGATACAATATACCACCATGACAGAAAAGATGACCAACATCCACGCGTACTGCTGACCGTACGCGAACGCGCGCACGGCTTCCTGTTAAAACGATACAACCCTGGTGTCAACAAGCAAATTCTCCTCTCTGATCTACCTAAATCCATTTTCAAGCCAGTCGGGAGAATTTGACTATAGGTACAAAGGAGCCAAATGAGAACTAGCTGCTGCTGGGGAGGAAAAGAGGTCCGCGAGATCATTTAGGAAAAGCGTTTCACTCTAGTTTTACCGACTATTCAAGGTGCGAGGTCCGGACGCGTCTTTCCCCCAAACGAGCAAAACGTTTTGTCGCCAACAGATTGCGTGAAATTTCTGTGAAAAACTCTCTTGAGAGCGTGAAGCAAGGCGTTAAAATGCCCAACTTTATAACAAACTGCGAACTTTAAAACTGCGAGCTATTCGTACTTCTTTATGGACTGCGAGTTTTGCAGTCACTATTTTTCCGCTTCATCATGCAAGCGCACAACGTTAGTTCAAAATAAATAACAATTAAAAAAAAACACGAAAAAACCAGCCCGAAATATCAATTCTTTTGTTGGATCACCATACCTTTCTTTTACTGTTAGGCAATTTGGTGGCACATGAAGACAATAATTCTACCTACTTTATGAATATTTTTCTTCTCATCACTTGTCTACTTGCCAATAGATTGGTATCGTTTGGAAAAGTCAGTGACTAATCACCCTTACCTTACGAGCAAGCCTTTTCTCTCCGTCGTTTCGCGCACGAGCCATATTTCCTGCGTACGACACGAGCTCGGGAAAACGACACAATTCTAGCGCGGTTCCAATCAGTGCTGAAGTTATGAGGTAGTTTACAAAGAACGCACCATTGTTAGGCAAAAACACACAACTGAAACAGAATTGAAAAGAGCGAGAGTTGAGGCAAGAGAGAATTTTCTTTATCGTCTTACAACTGACGACGGCTTCTACTTACGCTAGTCTACTTTGGAATTCCGGCATCTTTCCGCCCAGAGTCAAATGAAACAAGGCGTCCGCACTAAAACAGAGAAAAACAGTATTGCCTAAGCCATAGTTAATATGGGGAAATGGTTAGGAAGGCCGATAAACATCAAAGAAGTACAAAAAGACTAAGACTTAAGTTGGGAGGTCCTTGACCCTGTACATCTTTTGTTTTATGCTCATAGACTACGCATTAATTACATAATTAATCGAACTGCTCATATTGGTTAGTTGTATGAGCACGCATGACAACTGACCACCTTTGGCATTTTGCCACGTTAACCCTCTATTAACTATGCCAAAACATAAAACACCGGGTTACCAATAACCAGGAATTAATTTCGTTGTAGAGCAGTTTCAATTGAGTGTCGTAAAGCCAAACCAATTACTTACCAATTAGACTACTCAGCCAATTATCTCGAACCGTCGTAAAATCAAAACCAAACCCAAAGTTACTGCCTGATCAATTGAAAACTATTCTATGCAATTTTGCACGCGTCCGAAAACCTTGTTCATTACCATCTCCGATATTCAATACAAAAGAGGCATATTGGTAAAATGGATGTTCCCACTAAGTCTGTTACCAGCCCGAGCCAGTGAAGAGCAGTTAACGTTTTTTTTTGACAAGAAGAACGTCCTTGTTTTATAATTGTGCCTTTCGTCTTTCACTGGAAATGGGGTGGGAAAATGAGGCGTGGCCTAGCAGTTAGGGAGCTGGATAAAAATATCGATAAACCTTCCTACCTTGTCAGAGCTAAAGAGGGTAAAACAATAATCATCAAGACTAGGAAGATGTAGGTCTTTAACATCACCGAGTGTTCAAGTTTAGACCTGGGAAAAGTCGTAGAAGAAATGAAGATTAACACATACCAGGGAGTACACCAGGGTGGGGAGGAGGGGGGAACAACTGTTCAGAATGACGATTACTACACCTGGGGGGNTAGAAGACACAATTTTGAATTTACAAGACTACTGCAACCTCAAGAAGTGATGTTTCAATTGTAACAAAAAGGTCAGATTTTAAAAGTTGTAGATAAGACGTAAGTCAAATACCTTGTCCAGTGCGCTTCAAAATAACTTGACCATGAAACAACTGCTGGAAGGATGGCTGCAAAGCCCCAGAGAAGAATAGTGGGCAAGAATTGGGTGAGAAATGGGTTTGGAGGGACTGCTAGCTTCGGGTTGCTTTCCGCTGCAGAAAACACAAACAAGCAAGTGTTAACTATTGCAGGTAAAATAATGACTTTCAGGTTTTTTAATAAAACCCTAAAGTGAGACCATGAGCGAAAGCTACTGAGCAGTACTTTCATGTGGTACTGTTTATTATGCAGTACAAGGTGGTTCTAGCTTTTAAGTCTGTGGATGAAACCCTAGTGTGTGACCATTCAAATGAAAGCTATTGAACACTGTACTTTCATGTGGTACTGTTTATTATGCAGTACAAGGTGGTTCTAACTTTGAAGTCTGTGGATGACACCCTACTGTGCGACCATTCAAATGAAAGCTATTGAGCAGTACTTTCATGTGGTACTGTTTATTATCTATTCCCATAATGCATACAGAGAACCGGAATAATTATTAAGAAATACAAAATAACAAATGGCTGCTGACCTATACTAGCTTCCAACTCATGAAGTGTGGACAGCGCAACAGTTGGAGTGGTCAAAAACAGCACAAATATGAACAGCAACGTGTTTATAAGCACTGCTCTGGCCCACCAGCTCTCATGATCCACAGATAAATGTTCCCAAATGATATCTCCTGCTACAGGTGCTCTTGCCACATTCCAGTGGTCGGAAAAGATTTTCCTGGACACTGATGACTCTGGACTGCCATGTTTGACTGTGTTGAAGTCTTTGAGACATCTACAAAAGCAATATTATAGATAAACATATTTTGCTTAATATAAATTTATTTCATTCACAAACCAACTTGTGACCCCTAAACGTCACCGCTTAACGCTTAGGTACATGTAGGGTTCTTCCAAATATTCAAAGTAGGTGGAGAATGATTTGTAGTGCCTCCAGACCAAACAAAAGGACATGTGATCTTAGTTTTTACCAGATCTATCAAAAGTAGCCAACGTGCAATGGTTTACTAGATGGTAATCTTTGCCTGTTGCAGGTGCTTATCGAGAACCCTGTCAAAGGCAGGGGAAGGGGGGGAGAAGGTCCCATAGACAAAAGAGCTTGTCCTGATTTCTATAGCATTCTCCTGCTTGGAATGCCAGTTCATTGCAGTTCATTAAATTTGCCTGTACCCATTTATACACCTGGGTGGAGAGAGGTACTGTGAAAGTAAAGTGTCTTGCCCAAGAACACAACACAATGACCCAAACCACAGCTTGAACTTAAACCACTCAAGTTTAGACTATTAAAGTCCAAAGCACTATCCGTCTGGGCACAGCACCTCACTCATGTACGTTAAAACAACTAACAGAGGAGTGTCCTTCCTCACCTGTCAACAACTTTTGCATTTTCAAATGTCACGAAAGCTATTCCCAGACTCTTCAGCTTCTGTCTTTGCATATCAGCCTCTGTTTTGCCATCTTCTTCTTCCTCAGTGAAGTATTCAATGCCGTCAACATGACTGGCACCACAGCACTGACAACATGGTGATAGCTTGTTGGTGCTGACCACAGTGAGAGGTCGTTCTCCAGTCTTTTGAAGCTGCTCTTCACAGTGCTGACGACCCATCTGCGCTGCAAGTACTTTCCTCTGGGCTTCTTTGAGTTTCTTGAAATTGAATGCAATTTGGACTTCGAGGATTTGCGTATCACCATAAATCTCGCTGTTAAGTGGCATCAAAGAACATAATATTATTACTAAGAAATGCTGGCAAGCGGTGATTGACTCTAAAACAGTTTTTCCAACTGCCTGTATTTCATGAGGTTGCTTTAGAAAGAGAGGTAGGCAAATGAAAAACAAAACCTTGCTCTGAGGGAACATCAAATAACAAATTTAATGTATTGACCTAATAAATAACAGGCTTAACCTCGAACACCAATTGAAAATAAAATGTCATTGACTGGAAAACACTCTAAAAGCCAAATCAGATCTGATAAATGTAAGAATAAGTTTATTCTTAATAATTATTAACCATACACATAGAATTTAGAAATGAGCTAGTTAACAAGACTTGTTATAATATAGTTAAATGAAATTTAACATAGTTAACGACTAGGAGCTAGTCTGGTCAGTAGCGTTTTTATAGGTGGTTGTTAGTGTCTTGGCCATCTGTGAGCATTTGGTTAGCGTTTGGTGCGTTCTGTAGCGTTCGATATAGTTCAATGAAATTTTACATAGTTTATGACCAGGAGCGAGTCTGGTCACTAGCATTTTTTGTAGGCGTTTGATAGTGCTTCAGCCATCTGTTAGTGTTTGTTTAGCGTTTGGTGCGTTCTGTAGCGTTTGCAGCAGTCATATGGTCGTGAGAGCCTTGGGGCTGACATTGTCCAGTGGTAATTTTGGTTAGTACATGTGTTGTCATCCCATGTGCTCGCAGTGTGTTCATTGCTCTGTTAGTGTGGCGTTGTGGATTGAACTATAGTTTAGCGGTTCTCGGCATTCCCTCCCTATCCCCCCTCTATTCAGCATTTTTTTTTCCACCAATGCCATCTGGATTGAGTGTGACGGGTGCCTGCAGAGGGTTTGGCGCGGGGGGCTCGTGGCTTGGTTGCGGGTTGGGAAGGCCAGTCGGGTGTTCTAGCACCTTGGGGATGTGACTGCGGTTGCAGCCCCCGGGCTTCGTAGGCACCTTCCCTCCACCAGCGACTTGGCCGTTAACTTAGTATAAAAGTTCAAAACTTAAACCTTGGATAAGGCTAAGCCTTATGATGTACAGAATTGATCTACCACTAATTTTTTATCTTTCAACTTAGCTACCAGGCCGGCCGGGGAAATGAGAGAGAACAGCCAGGCTTTCTAGCATTAAGAGAGAGTACATGTAACACAACACATATAGTATCAAATATAAACTTCCTACTTACCGAAAATGTTGAGTGATCAAGTTTACCGTCACTGTTTTAGGGACATTAGTGATCATTATAGTCTTTGTGGAATTATCCCGACTCTCGTATCCAAACAGATTGGTAAAATGCCGCAGCACGATCACCATCAACACACAGTACATGATGGCAAAGACGGTGTGCATCCAGAAGACACTTGAGTCTGGTCTTAAGTTTGATACTGTGGTGGCTCCAAAAGAATTCCTCTCAGGCTCTACAAAGTTCAATACATAGAGGGTATTACATGGCCACAAGGAGATAAAACTCTTGAAGTGTTGAAAAATATTCCACAAGTGGGCTCAGCGAATGAGTGAAGTATTTTTCAACATGAGAACTAGATAGATTTTGTATCTCCAAGTGGCCATGTAATGTGTTATTAATAAAAACACCAATTAAACACCAAACCGTTTCATTTTTGCAAGGAAAGACATGATTTATTACATCACCATAGCAACGGTGATCTTTTCACTTGATAAAATAACATGTTATTTTCACATGTGAAGATATCATGTTATCGCACAAAAGCTCACTGGTATTTCATTGGTGTTTATATAATAAAACTGAATTGTTAATAACTCTCCCTGGGCCTGAAAAGAGGGGAGAGGAAGGCTTTAGGAAGGAAGGAGAAATGACCAAACAAATAAGGGAGAAACCAACAGAGAAAGGAAGAAGTGAAAAAGCTAGTTATTCATTTTTTTAGATATTTCCTTCATCTCCCCTTTATTTGCAGGGTTTGGGTCAAAGCTAACATGGAAAACATTAGTTCCCAGAGGCTGCTAGAAAAACAGACACCTGATATGCATTTTATGTGGTCTGTGCGATACCCTGCTTCTGAGAAATCTAGTCGTTAGGAATACCTAGTCTGTCTACAGATCCTCTATTTTGTCTTGAATTTGTTCAGATCAAAAGCTTAGCAAAATATTATGACAATGTAGTGTTTGTATGTGGTTTGGAAGATGACTAAGCATCTGTTTACAGGACGTGTCTTCAAATGGGAATTACCTGCTAGTACAAGTTTGCCTGTAAAAGGTTGAGGTTCAAGTCTGTTTAAAGGTATTTGTCAAATTGAGCAGTTCTAGAAAATAAATTATCTCTGATACCCACCCTATGTAATGATACCATGCCATGCCATGCCATGCCATGCCATGCCATGCCATACCATACCATATAATATGATATGATACTTTATTTAATGTGGAGTTACGCTTAACTAATCAGCTAGTTTACAGGTAATTCATGGCCCTAGTATATATGTAAGGTCACTAGAAATTCTAAAAGAATGTGACAGGAAGGTGTAAGGCTATGCATAAGGCTCAACTGGGATTTCAAAAGGGGGGGGCGGTCACACAAACAAAAACACTTCATGGGGGGTAAGATACTCTCTGGAACAGCAAATTGAATGCAGGAAGTAGAGATTTCTGAGCAGGCTCTGCCTCTGGATAGAAGTAAGATGCCGATCCATCAAAGGCTACTCCCTGCATTGTCGTCAGGTTTCACCAACAGTTTGCTGGCATCTATCCAATAAAAGTTCCTGGGTCACTAGATTCAAAGTGAGAGTAAAGTGTCTGGCACCACAACCATAATCAAACTGGAACTTCCACATTCTTCAGATTTTGATACAAAGTCGAAAGATTATTAAGAAAAAAAAAAAACTGAACAAACTAATTTCTCAGGTATGATGTCTAACTTTCAATTTCTTCGGAATCCAAAACAGCTAAGAATTGACGACCTTCATGGTAATCTTAACCACCATTATTTTTTTCACTTGCTACAATGGTCAAAAACGGTCTTAGCTTGTAGCAAATGTGGTTACTCACCATTTTTTCCAGAGTAGTTGACGGGTAAAACTATGCCAATGGAAAGACAGAAGATTATGACAGTGTAAACTAAAAGGTGCTTCTGGAATACAATATATTGTAATGCATCTATACCACACTTCAGTCGAATGTGTTCATCAGTGACTCGCATGAAGACAAGGATCCATGAGAAAAGACCCTGTGGAGTGAAAGAATTACATGAAACAAAACAAGTTAAGTACATGCTGGCAGAGCTGTTTTATTAAACTGTTAGTAATTAATACATTATAATAAGTAACAGCTAGAATTTTCATAATTATCAAGCCTACATAACTAGAACTAGACTTTTTTTTCAATTTAGTCCAATACACGTAGCTGTAAATGGGTAGAAATGGAGAACTGCTGCACACGCTTACTATATCATGAGAACAGCACAAGAAACAGCATTACAGGACATCATACATGACTACTTCCCTTTTAGTGCAGAGTGCACTATTGGGATGGTTTAGAGGGCTGACATCCACTAAACCGACAGAGCACTAAAGCACTAAAGTACTATGGCAATTACTATATATGTGTAAACTTTATTTTTCTGTTGATTAATTAAACAAACAGTAAAATTCACAAGCTGTCTTGACAAATGGTAATTGAAAGTCCTTTTTTGGACCTTGAATGAAAAACATGGTCACACAATGCTAAAATTATGGCTTATCAAGGTTTCTGCCTGTTCATATTCTGCAGGAATAAAAGCCATAGTTGACTACCAAGGTCAATATAAACCAGGAGTGAACAGCAGGAGTGAGGACCTGTGTTGTGACTACTTTGTCTGAGCTACATGTATAGTCTGTGGTAACACAGTTCACCCTGCACTATCTGAGATTGTCTTACTAGTTATTCTTACACATTCAAATGAGCTTCATATACTTTTCAGTAAAACAGAGTTTAGCAGCTGGCTCCAAAACAAAAAGAAACATTTAAGGAGTTAAAACCTTAAAGGAGAAGGTCACTCCAAAAAGCTTACTTTTTTGTCTTCGCCTATAGCAAGTAAACATCCAGCTTTTCCACTCACCGAAGTTTCAGCCTCTGAAGTGCCCGCCCTATCCTAAAGAAATTTATCTCGAAAGGAGCGACTTTGGAGGCTGCCATTTTGAAACTATCTTGGCAGCCAGGCTGTGTTTAAATGACATCATTCCGTCAGACTCGAAATTGGCGGAAAGGAGAAAAAACCTGCAACTGACTTGGCATCCTTCACCAGGTCAGCAAAATCTATTTTTTCCAAGCAATTATATGTATCCACTATCAAGTTGGAGTTTGGAGCATGTTTGGCTCAAAATAATATGGCTCAAGAGCAGCCATAACCCAGAGTGGTGGTTAAAAGGCTTGTTGGAAGCCACTCTTGGACGGAATGACATCAGGAAAACGCAGCCTGGCTGCTGAGTAGTGTTCAAACTGGCGGCAACAATGCTCGAATTTTGGGTTTCTTTGGAGACAAATTTCATAAGGAAAACCTGCAGTTTAGAGGCTGAAACTTTGGTGAGTGGCTAAACTTAGTGCAAGGTTTTTACAGTGTTAGCAGGAACAAAAAATATACAGTTTTTGGAGTGACCTTCTCCTTTAAAAAATGTTGGATCTGACCTAAAATGCCATAAAAAAAAAACCATTTTTATAGCATTTTAGGTCAGATCCAACATTTTTTAAGGTTTTAATCATTAACAATGACCACCCAAACAGTATTTACAATTAATTAACAATTAATTATAACACCAACCTTTTTTTTCACTTCCGGAAAGTCGACAGATGCAGGAGTGCTATTGGTACTACTCTCTACACCAGGGCTTTCTCCTTCTGAACTTTCCCCCCTTGTTCCATAAAACATTTCAGTCCATCTAAAAATGAATATTACTTCTTGATTGTTATATGTACATGAATTGTATATAAATATATAAAGGGACAGGATTTGAAATCATCACTCACCTACAAGCCAAGATGAGTATTAAAACGATTGGATAAGTACAAATTGTACACTTTTTGGTGCATATTCAAAAGGTCACTAAACCGGATTTGTACATACTGATCAAAATTAATATCATGTATTTTATATCTACCTTAGCTGAGTCAGGGGTTTCATTAAGGGCCAGGAACCAGGAAAATTGACCAGCTGTGAGCACGATTTTGCCCAACTGGTTTCACCATATAGAGGAAAGTTTTTCTTATAAAGATGGTTCAGTTCAAAAAGTTTTGCCCGCCCATGAAAACCAGTTGCCCTCTTGCTGAAAACATAAATGAAACCCCTGCTGAGTACATGTAGAACTGTGATTATCTCTTGTCTGCAATAATTTGATCTAATAATCACTCTCTCACCGCCTGTAAAACTTAACTTGGTGGTAGATCCTTTACGCTGGAAATGCAATGTATTTGAATCCTGTTGGAAACTGAATTCTTTCAGGCTTTCTTATCAACTAGTTAAGCTGAAATCTGGATTTGAAATTAGCCATTTTCTTTTGTTTAATAATACCATTTAACAATTTATTCATAATTTCTAAAAAGTAACATAGTTAAAAGTACAATTACCCCTGGTCTTCCTTTTGTATCAGTGCTAGTCTTCCATAATCCCAGACAAGTCTTCTGATCACACAGAATATGATGAATACAATCTAGATCACAGGTAAAAAAAAGCAGCATTAAAAAAAAACCTGTGATGACCCAGTATCACATCCTGGCAAGGGATAAACAGGGGTAAAATGGCAGAGCACTGGGTAAATTGACTGGCTGTGAGGAGGATTTTGCCAGCCTGGTTTGACCATTTACATGTAGGAGGAAAGTTTCTCTTATAAAGAAGTTCAGTTCAAAATTTTTTGCCTTCAGGACTGTGAAAACCAGTTGCCGCCCTGCTGAAAATCTTAATGAAACCTTTCTGTGATAGATATATTTGTAACTCAGATACATGAAGACAGATCAGGAAATTACAACTTTAAGAGGGTTGGGTACGGCCATTTGTGAACCCACCATTCAAACTTTTTCGCCTCAAAAATTATTTGTTTTTTCCCTAAATTCGCTCACATCACCTGGGTTAACTAATATTTCATGAACCAATAGTAAATGTTCTCTGGAAATTTATTATTAATTTCCAACTATCAGTCCTTTTTTTAAATTTTCCAATAAAATCTAGACAAGGTCTTGCCTTGCCTCTTTCTATTAAACAATGGCCCTGCTTTACTAAGGCTGGTGAAATGATCACATGCTAGACCTTGCAAGAAGGTGAGAAAGATAGACACCTTTACTTAAAAGTAAAAAATATATGTGTAAATTTTCAGGGTAGTCCCTTCAGGGACCTTACAAAGCATCCCCGCTATCAATAGGAGCCCCAAAACTATTACCTACCTTAGATTACACAATAATAGGGTACCTACAAAACTAAAAACTTAAATATAGGAAAGTACATTACAACAAATATCAAAAGCCTAGCTATCATAGTAATATCTTCAAATTTATGTACATTTACAGTATTTATTAAAAACTGTACTTCCATGATAATAAAAAGATCTCCTGGCTGTTCTCATTCTTATTGCGAGCCTGAGACATTTTGACTTTTTAAATCGCAAGACCAAGGTTTCCAACTGTTTTAAGTGTGAGTGCCAAATGTTCAGCCTCTAAGACGATATTTGTGAAAGCAAACAAACAAATCAGGATTTAGAGACTTTCTTAGTCTCACAAAAGATTGCGACTCTGAGACAGCTTTGTGAAAAAATCAAGACTGCAAGATCCACATAACCTCTAAAAATATGAGACTGCAAGACCCTGAAATTCAATGAAAATTTAGCAATACCCATGGTTTTTGTAGAACCATTCACCCTTTCACCAACCTTTTATTGGAGTCATATTCTGGTGACACTGGGTAACAAAAGCCAATCAAAGCAATGAAATGTAGTCTAGACAGTTTTCTTGTGGTGTGGTGGTTTATCTATGCCACTGTTCATTGTTACAATTTTCAATTTCATGGGTTTATAGCTTGGAAAGTCATAACAAAAGTGGCATGTCAGTTGTCTTGACAAAGAAGTTTCTTCCAAAACATTTACAAAAAAAAACTATAAATTGTGCACATTTCATCAACATAATCTTTAAATATTCTTAAACCCATAAACTGTACACAAGGGAAAGAAAACTTTCAAAAGAGACTTTGGAAAGCTTGCATAACTGTGAAAATTAGCATTGCTTTGTCAATCAAACTTGTGTAACATGTATTTAGCCCAATCTACACAACCATTAAAAATAAGATAGTAATGCTGCTAACACAAGGAAAATGCGACAAGTCAAACTTAATTTGAAGGCTCTGTCCATCTTTCTTCCATGCAGAATTTGTTATTTGCTGATCAAAAGACTGAAATCAGATTCATATTAGATCTGACCATTCAACACAAGTCTGAAAATGGCACAGATCATACAAGGAAAAGATAACAGATGCATAAATTAATTCGAAAGCTCTGTCAATTTTTTTTTTTTTTTTTTTTCATGTTTTCATGCAATGTTATTTGGCTAATTGCAGAACAAACCTCTGCAGTGACTGGTCTAAGATCACTGTACATGAATACAATAATAACACATATAAAATGGTATTTTGAATTTTCCAGAGTGAAAATATATATGGTACAAATTTAGCTCTCAAAACAGTTACTGTACACAAGAAACTCTTCCAAAACTTCTTCCCCAAATCCATAACTTTTAGATGAAAATGAAACTGATTATTAAATCATGCACCTTTCACAATAGTGTTAAAACAACACATTTCTGACACAGTTATTGAAAGCTGCTTCAGTTGTTGTACAAAGATACAAATGAATCAGCCAGTTCTTTACCAGCAGCTTAAGATATTGTTTAATTATGTTATATTATTAGCAAACGTGTCTGTTGTTACATCGCTCGACAGACCAGCAGTGAATTAAAAAAATCATAATTTTTTTGCATAACAAATGACAAAAGCAAAGTACATTTCACCTGCTTCAGAACCTAGGAACAATAGAGCGCGGGTACTTCAGCGACCATCGTTGTCGACAAAGCTTTGAAAAATACTCATCTTTTTGTAAACCTATTTTCTCAATAATCGACCTCGTCGTTGCTGAAAATGACCAAGTTTTCTCTGTTTTAGAAATACCGTGTATAAAGCTTATGTCGTTCTAAGCCAATTCGCTGATAAGACTTACGTTTGACTGAGAAATTATTTTATATATTTAAGCATATATTTTGGAGCATATGGCTGACAATTTAATTTTTTTCTTTCGCTTCTAACAGAACAAATTTCTTACTATCCTTTAAATTTCAATCAATACCAAAAAAAACAAATTGTTGATCAAGAAAAACAGACACTCTACATTTCTTGGCATCTCATTGCCTGAACGAGTTTCCCTTATCAGTTGAGCGGAAAGATCGAGTGGCCAAGACAAAAAAAATTTTCGTCGTGGCTTACATTTTCATTTCACTCCAACTGTATCAGGAAAAGAATTTTAATTGCTACCTAAAAATCACATAAGAAGAAAAACACAAAGAGATATTCGGTCCAGAGAATCTAGCAACTCAATTTGCATCGTTTTGTTGTCATTCCCGCCAAATGGACCGAAAAATCAAAGACAACTTAAATATAAGCAAAGCAAAACAATCAAATATTCAAATACTGGGGCAAAATATGGTAGCATGCAGAAGGAAATTTTGTTTACCATCCATCCAAGGCAATTCAAACCAAAGTTGATGGGAATCCCTCCATCTTTCGCATCGTAATTTGCCAGAGTAAATCTAGTCGTTGCGTTATCGACATCTTTTGGATCGAAGCATTGTGGAACAATGTGTGGAGTTTTATTGCCCGCCGAGGTATCAAAAGCTAGTCGAATGCTGGCCATAACAGTTCACTGCCACCAAAATGCAAGCCTTGGAAGAAGCAGCTGGTATAGAAGCCTTTTCAAACTAAATTTTGCTTCCTGGAGACAACCACTCGTCGTCGGCCATGTTTGCGACCCGCCTTTTATCGAGTAATCTGCTGACCGCAAAAAGAACCCAGTTGACATAAACCGGAAGTATGCGGTTTTTGAGCCTCCTTCATTTCCGTTTGCGGCGCCGGGAAAATTTCAGTGATGAACGGTGTTGAAAATTTACCTCCATGAGTATTTTGAGTATTTCTTTGAGCGAGATGCGAAAAAGAAAAGCGATAGGAGAGACACGGCGTGTGAAAGCCAGGCGTCGACTATCTGAGGGAAAAGAGCCTCTGCTCGTAATTTGAAAAATTCCCCTGTTCTAAAGCTTCTGGGACCATCAAGGTGAAACCAGGAACTATTAACTAAGAAATGAAAGACAGAAAACATACAATTAGAACGGTATGGCTTGGAAAAAACTACCAAAGGTGACCGTACTTTACTGTATAAGAGTTTGTATGGAGTTCTGTAAGAGTCTATATGGAGCTGAAAAAGTTTTTCAGAGTTAGCGATCGAACTTCAAATCCATACAAATCCCTACAAGAACTCTATACAAACTAATACCGTAAACTGCCGCTTACAAGCCCTGGGCTTATACAACTTCGTAAGGGCTTTTAGATGGGTTTATAAATGGAGGGGCTTTTTTTCGAGGGGCTTATAACTGGAATTGAAAATAAAGCGTTTAGAAACTACTTATAGCTGTGTATGATGATCGAAATAGGTTTTTCATTTACTGGTAATTCAGCTTTAAAACATCATAATAAACGAATTCAAAACAAGGAAGCTAGAGGGGGCTTATAACCGGATGTATTTTCTGGTTTACAGTTACATGGGCCTATATCCGGGGAAGGCTTATATATAAGCGGCCGTTTACGGTAGATCAGATCAAATGCAACCCGGAATAAGCAAATTAAAAGTAGCTTCACCTTCATGTATTCCAGCACACCCACCGCTTTACGAATTTCAAAACAGAGACAAAAATTACTGCCAAAATACTTTGGTGACCCAAATTTTATTCAAATTAGCGCTCTTGATGTTCAGCTCCGTTCAAAGCCATACATTTGCGAACAATTATTTCGTCTTAAGGGCTTACTACACAACATTAAAATTACATTTACAAGTTTAATAGACCATTTCCAATTGTTTAAGTTTTCAGAANCCGTTCAAAGCCATACATTTGCGAACAATTATTTCGTCTTAAGGGCTTACTACACAACATTAAAATTACATTTACAAGTTTAATAGACCATTTCCAATTGTTTAAGTTTTCAGAAGTTTCCGAACTTCATATAGTTCTGAATAAAAAAAGGAAAGAAAAAACAACTAAATACTGTCCTACAATCTGTCCACGCAATAAGACGAGTTCATCATTTATATTGAATTATGTCCCTTAAGACATTTGATTACTGATTCGATAGACTAAATAATTATATAAACCGGCTCTTGTTTACATTTTACAAGTATTCATTTATACTGTTCTTTCAAACAGTTACATAAACACATACAAACTTTATTTATACTTACGGACCGTGCTGAAACTTCAAGTTAGGCTCCTAGCTTCTAATGAGTCGAGTTTAGAAAGTATCTTCTTCTAGTGACTTAAAGCCTAGGGTGTGTTCTCAGCAACCCCTCCCCCCACTGCCCCCCGGAGGTACTCCCATCAGATAAGCTATATGGGTATGTGCCGCTGTGAAGAGTATGGTTTTCAGGCAATTTAGTCTGGGAAAGGTACTAGAAATCCGACAGTTTTGGTCTTCAAGAGGGTATAATTTACCGGGAAAGTGGCCAGTATATATATAATTTACTAAAGCAGGGTTCTTTACCCGGGGGTCTATAATAGAAATTGAAAGTCGTAAGTGACTTTGTAAGATATAACTTAGCGTATATATTGGACTACGATTAGGGGCTTTTGGTGCCTTAATGGGTTGCAAACTCAAGCTGATCAAGCTCTAGTATAGGGTAAAGGCAGAGGGTAAAGGTTTCAGTTTTCAGAGCACCCCAGGGTTCACAAAAGCAAAGCCGAAACGTACAAAGTATAATGGGTTATAAAGCAAATTAATATTTGGAAACAGTATTACATGTAACCCTAATTTGTAGCGTTATTCTACGTCTAGACTAACCAAATTGATGAGGGCAACTCTGGTTTTGATTTTTGCTACGTTTTGAAAGTTCAGAGCTTCTCACCAAGTTTGTGCATTTCCCATCTGCTCATCCAGAGCAGTGCACATTTTCCCCCTTCCCTACCTTCCCCGGGAAAGCATGATTATGGCTGGGTTATTGCTCCTAAACCCCCTCGAATATTAGAAAAGTGTAAAGTTTCTTTAAAACACTAGTGACTACAGTGGAAACGAGACNTGTTGTTGTTGTTGTCGGACTAAACAAAACAGCACGTGTTTTATGTTTTGAGAGAGTGTTCATGCTGCTAAAACGCCCCCGGCGGGTACTCCCCTATAATAATATATATACTGTACTAATAACTATATTTAGATAGCGCCATCCCTGACAGATTGTTTCATAATCTTGGGGGACATACACTAAGTGCCCTGTCACCATAGGTTTTTGTGAAAGACCTCGGCTGATACGCTATGTGGGTATGTGCCGCTGTGTAAGCTGGGTTATGGTTTTCAGGGAGTGTAGTCTGGGATAGGGTATAGAAATCAGAGGTCTAGAATGCATGGGGTATAATTTACGGTCGGTAAAGTGACTAATGTATAATTTAGTATATACGGGGCCCTTTACCCGGGGTTCTATAATAGAAATTGAAACTCGAAGTGACTTTGTAAGACATTGGTTTAGTTCGTGTATGTTGGACTACGATACTGATAAATTTTCTCCATGGAAAATAGCTACTCAGTTGGATAGGGTAGGGGATTTTGGTGCTAAGATCTAAAACAGCGGCACACCCCTACCCAAAGATTTACAGAGTACCCCAGGCTAAAAAGATCATGTAAATACGAACAAGTCAAATAATACTTAAACAGTGAAATTACCTTGGCTCTTTCACTCGAAGAGTAACACATTTACCGCTATGTTTATATTAGATTTGTATTCTGAGCTTTCTCTCTTTGACTGTATAAATCAATATTTATTTAAAAGTTTGTATAGAATGAAAGAATTGGACATTTATTTTATAAAAAAGTTATTTTCTCACTTTTGAAGTGCTGATAAACAATACCCTGCGAGCAGTCTTCCTAAAGAACGAAGGAGACTCTGCTGGCAGGGTAAGTAAAGAAGTACTTCACACAAATTTTGTGTTCGCTAGCATACAGTCTCCACCTGACGCGGAATACTGAGGTTACCAGACTTCTCTTGTATGCAATTATTGTGATTACGTCTCGATTCAACTGCTTTTTGTCTTCTATTTAAAGAAGGCGTATTCACTCTGAAAACGTTTAGAATGTTTTCCGTCCACGCTACCCCGGAGAAATTTGAAAACGCAACAATCACCGTTCATTTTGGATTTGTGGTTGAGGAAAACCCAGGCAGGGAAATCAAATGATTATAGTGACGTCATCGTTTTCGAAAAGCTTCCTTTTCAAAATGTTTCCGTTCACCCTAAACGCAAAGCCGGCTTTTTCAAATTCCCCCGGTTTGAAGAGCGTTTCAAAAAGCTCCGTTTTCA